AAATTTATGTAACAGTTTTAACATACAGTTTTGTTGGTAACCGAGAGAGGATTAATACTACCAGGTTTCGTGTCATTTCAGTTTCATATGTAAAAGTTATTGCATTTTGAAAATGTTGGCGAGTACGCCAACTTCGAGGCCTGGCCACACCCCTTTAAAATGCTGGAAAACTCAAAAAGTTTGATAAGTTTGGATCTCACATGCCTTATCTGCATACATGCCAAGTTTGAAGCCGATGGCTCACCGTCCCTAGGAGGAGTTCGCGAAAGTTCGACGTCAACAAAATTGAAAAAGTGCCAAAAATCGGCCTTTGAGCCAAAATGGCCGACATCCTGTAGGTTTTAGAGCATACCCATAATGTAACTTTTTTCATGATTTGGTGAGATCTATGCACCTGCAAAATCTCAAATCTCTGTGACTTACGGTTTTCCCCAACTCACGTTAGGGGGCGCTGTAGAGCCATTTGGCCACGCCCATTTTGGATTCCATTATCATACGTAAATTTCACTAGGGGGACAATTTACTGCCAAGTTTGGTGAGTTTTTGGGCATGTTAAAGCCTCCAAAAAGCTGTTTCTTTTAAGCGGAGAAAAATAAGAAAAAGAAAAAGAAGAATAAACGGTACAGGAACAATAGGCTCTCGCAGCGGTGAGCTGCTCGGGCCTAATAATAATAACAAACGATACAGGAACAATAGGCTCTCGCAGCGGTGAGCTGCTCGGGCCTAATAACAAACGATACAGGAACAATAGGCTCTCGCAGCGGTGAGCTGCTCGGGCCTAATAACAAACGATACAGGAACAATAGGCTCTCGCAGCGGTGAGCTGCTCGGGCCTAATAACAAACGATACAGGAACAATAGGCTCTCGCAGCGGTGAGCTGCTCGGGCCTAAAAATGCTATCATCATCACTTATCCGTCAGGGAGATGAGAGTATAACAGATTTCTAGACTCCATTAGGACATTTTGAATACTTAGTTATTCCATATGGTCTCTACAATGCTCTTCAGCTTGCTTTTCAGGCACTCACTAATGTTATTCCCCAGATATTTCATAAACATCTTTGTTTTTGTTTTAAAAGCTCAGTTGTAGAGTGGTCAACAGCACCACATTACTGGGGGTGCAGATGACAGACAACCTCACCTGGCCTGTAAAAACCCCCTCCCTGGTCAAAAGAGCACTAAAGTGCATGTACTTCCTTCAGAGGATGAGGAGAGCCCACCTGCCCCCACCCATCCTCACCACCTTCTACAGAAGCACCATAGAGAGCGTTCTGACCAGCTGTCTCACTGTGTGGTGTGGAGGCTGCAGCTCCTCAGACTGTAAGAAGGTTAGAAGAGTGGTGAGAACAGCAGAGAAGATAATCTGGGCTCCTCTTGTCTCCATAAAAGACATTTCATCCCAGCGCTTCGTGTCCCGTGCCTGTAACATTAATAATGACCGCTCACACCCCCACCCTGGACTGTTCTCTCTGCTGCCCTCTGGAAAGAGGCTTCGCAGGTCCAGCAGATTCCAGAACAGTTTCTTCCTACTTCCGTCAGACAGCTGAACTGTTGAAAAAACTCTAAATCATGTCACAGACTCTGCATCACACTAATGAAATCACACTTGCTCAAAATTTCTTGAAGTACGGTATTTCCCATATGTTGATGTCTGCCTGCGTGCTTCAGCGTGCTCATAACCTAAAAAAATGTACCCATAACTTATCCAACGTATGCCAGCGTTTTTGACAGATTTTTTGTACGTCAGGAATGCGCTAGGTAATCGTCAAGGTGTGACAGGGGCTTTAGGACCAACCAACGAGCAGCTACTGATGTTGTAATTTTTGATTGAAGTGTCTTTCAGTTCAATGCTTTTGTGATTGTTCCAAGTTGCTCTTTAGTTGTTTTTCTTTCTGATGAATGCTGCCAAATATGAGACTCAATTTTTCCAATTTAAATATTAAATGCAAAATTATCTCACAAAGATAAAATCTTTAGATCAAGATATATTCACATTGGTGTGGATCAATCTTATTCCCAATAATAGCCAATCAGTATGTTAAAAGTAGTCATCATAAGGAGTTATTTAAGGTCTGCACAACAATCGGTTGGAGCACTGCTTTGTGATCGTCAGACGCAGGATGTGGCTCTAACTGGGAGCTGTGGCAGCAGCAGCTAAAGCCAGTTGCTACTGAAGGCAGGAATGTGGGAAACAGCAAAGTGAGGGAAGGCTGGATTGTTTCACCTCGTCCATCATTGTCAGCAGCATTGTCCAGCTTGCGCTCACGGTGGCCTTGCTTTAAAAAAAAAAAAAAAGAGCCATCAGTTCCATAAAACAGAACAACTTCCGCTGTGAGGTGAAAAATCCCCTCCGAACATGTCAGTTGCCTTTGTTACTCTTCAAAGAAAAGGAGAAAAGTTCACAACTCAAGACTAAGTAAAAAAAAAGAATCAGCCACAAGGCTTCCTGGACTCCTGTCATAAAACATTAATGACAAGATCTCAGACAAGAGAATATTTGCTCATTTTCTGGCTAAAATATAATGTGGAAAACCACAGCCTGTACTCCACAGCAATTAAGCAGTTATGCTCTGTTGGTGTTTAGCTACAGGAAGAGATGCTGGAATAAACAACCATTATGCGGAAATATAAATTCAGTTTCTTAATACAGCAGCCATCCCTAATGTTTGGGACCAAATAGATCTGCTAGTTTTATGCATAGTAAGTAGAAAAAGACAGATGCCTTCCAAAGGAGACTGTGCAGAACAGGCAGCTATGATGCATTTTTGTATCATATGCAGTTCTTTGCTGTGGATGCAGACACTTCCCTTTGATTTTAAACACAAACAACTATAAACAGTCTGGCATCATAGCACATAAAATCCTAATTTTTGGACACTTCAGAAATCTCTGTCGGAGATTCAATGAATTTAATCTACATAGTAAGTAGAACATCCTACACTTGGAGAGAGCTTGACTGCAACACGACAGGTTGCGAGACTATAGGGAAATAGAGCAAGAGTAGGAGTGTTAGATGTAATTGGGGGTTAAAGTTGTCTTTTGGTGGTTATTGCATCAACAAATGTGTTGTAAACCCCTTGAATTATGTAACACATATTATGCATTATTTAATAAGGCCATAAAATCGGACAATAATGACATTTTGTGATAAATTAATCAAAATGTAATACATTAAAGCATTTTGTAATCATTTATACCAAATTGTGCAATTCCTTGATTAAATCCTGCTTGGGTTCTCAAAGGTACAAGATGGCTTCTCCTAAACAAACCTAGATTAAGTAGCTCAGACTGTCCTGGGCTAGTTTCCAAGTCACTGGTGACACGACGTCTTTTCTCCAAGAAGCTTTAAATTCGATGACCTGTATGGTAAATTCTAAATATTTTATTCTACAGATCTTTCTTAGTTCTTTTTAGTTTTTGTGTAAAATGCTCTGAGCAACACTGCTTTAGTTATTTTTACTCCACGAGGTGTTCTGGTGTCCATACATCGAAGAAAGATGTTTACCTGATGCTACTGCCTCGGAAATAAATCACCAAATATAGGGCGTTATTAAACAGAATTTCTTTTTTTTTCTAAAATTATTGGTAGCCTCTTGTATTTTATTATTTTTTAAAGCAGGCAGACAGGAGGGAGGATTGCGATTAGAGTGAAGCTAAGGACATGCAGCAAAGGTCACCAGACTCAAACCTGTGACGGCCACGACGAGGACCATAGCCTCTGAACATAGGTCATGCACTTAAACCCTGCAACACCGATGCAGAATTTCAAAGGCCTAAATATTAAGAATCCAAAACACAACATTTATCAGAAATACACTGCTCAAAAAAATTAAAGGAACACTTTGAAAAACATCAGATCTCAGAAGGGGAAAAAAAATCATGCTGTTTATTGATACTGATATGGACTGGGTGATGTGTTAGGAACAAAAGGATGCCGCGTCATTTGATGGAAATTAAAATTATCAACCTATAGACGGCTGAATTCAAAGACACCCCAAAAATTACAGTGAAAAAATGATGCAGCTGCTACTCCATTTTGCTGAAATTTCATTGCAGCAACTCAAAATGGTATTCAGTAATTTGTATGGCCCCCTTGTGCGTGTATGCATGCCTGACAACGTTGGGGCATGCTCCTAATGAGACGACGGATGGTGTCATGGGGTATCTCTCCCAGATCTGGACCAGGGCATCACTGAGCTCTTGACAGTCTGAGGTGCAACCTCGCGGCGTCGGATGGATCGAAACATAATGTCCCAGAGATGTTTTATTGGATTTAGGTCAGGCAAGCGTGGGGGCAAATCAATGGTATCAATTCCTTCATCCTCCAGGAAATGCCTGCATACTCTCGCCACATGAGGCCGGGCATTGTGGTGCACCAGGAGGAACCCAGGACCTACTGCACCAGCATAGGGTCTGACAATGGGTGCAAGGATTTCATCCCGATACCTAGTGTCAGGGTGCTACTTGTCCTTGCAATCACACAATATGAGACCCCTAACCCCTACTTCTCTCTGAAGGTGTTTTTAACTTATCATCACCATAATGGATGCAATCTTTTACCAGCATAGCAATGTGCCTCTACACATTTGATTTGTCCTTCTCTTGTAGCCACCATTGTTAAAGTCTCAGCAGTAGTTGTTCTAGTAGATACAAATCGATTAAGCATCTAAAAAAATAAAAATACTCACAAAGGCAAACTGCAGACAAAAGTCGTGTTGCCATGTATGGAGGAGCACAATTTTGGAAGACAGGCTGCAGCACATAGCTGGAGAAAGTCAGAGCAATGACAGCGAGGGTGGTTGGGTACATGATGAGGACTGCGCTCCACAGCAACAGAAACCTGAAGGAAACAGAAAACCAGAGACATGGCACAGCTTCTAAAAACTCACCAAACTTCTGAATGGCACGAATAAGATTTGCAGCTGTAATAGATCCAAACAAACATACCCTATTTCCCAACATAAAAGGACACAAAGTAATAGTATTCACATTAAATGATTTGTCTGTTTAGATCATAGGACAGGGTAAAAAGTTGTCTTTTTGTTGCAGGTTCAGGCATTGAAATGAGATGATTCCAGTTCGCAAAGGTTGTCTCTAAGCCCCTGTTCAAAAAGGAAAAGACCTTTAAACATTTTAGCAGTCTTAGGGTTTTAAATCTTCTCAGTGGCTTTGTGTCCCAGTTAAGTTCAATCATTCATCAGGTAAGGCATACAGCCTGCATGCGAGTTTAGGGAATAGTTCAAGGTTCTAGTATAACCTCAAATTTATCATCTAATTGTAAAAATGAAGAGATATTCCTGATCAATAACCAAATTCCCAATGGTCCACTGTCTTTTGTATTATCTTCATATTGTATCTCTACAAAACATCATGTTTGGAAGTAAAGGTATCATTAAGTCACTTAAGGATAGAGTGAAGTGAAGAAACTTTTACTCACCCTGTCAATCCGCCAAATATTTCCGTCACATAGGAGTAGTCGCCACCAGATTTAGGAATGGTGACGCCCAACTCAGCGTAGCACATCGAGCCTAGAGCAGCAACACAACCTCCTAGTACCCACACCACCAAGGCCAAACCCACTGAACCAGAGTGCTCCAGGACTCCCTTTGGAGAGATGAAGATCCCAGAGCCAATGATGTTTCCTGTGAACAAGGAGAGGGACACATTTTACTGACATTTCCGTCTCCCATTAAAGTAAATTCTGCACAATAATATCTGTTTCAGGTTTGATACCACATAGTAATGCCAAATGAAAAAAATCCCTATTAATGGGAGTGGTTTTCTTTAAAAAAAAACCTTGACTGTTGGATTATTTACAGCAAGCACTTGTGAGACATTACTCTTTTACTGGGATTTAGACTCTGAATAACAACGATCTGGCACTCAAGGATCCTCAGTTCTTTGCTTGTTACGTTGCAGACTCCTTACAAACCAGGCAAACCATGACAACAGAGGTCAGAGTCATCAATAACAGAACAGAGAATCAGAGCACATGTACTGGTGGGAGAACCATTCTTCCCTAAAAAAGAAACAAAACCATCTCTTCAACACCAGAGGGAAATGTGCACTTTGCATAAAGAGAACATAAATTTTGGCCAGTTAACCAACTTTTAAATGTGCTTCTCCTTGGATGTAATATGGTCCCATTTACTTCCTGGTTGTCTATGTCAGTGTTTTCCAACATTTTTTGTCTTGTGTACCCCTTTAGTCATTTTGTCCTACTATGAGTCACCCTCTCAGTCAAAATTATTAATGATTGTCCAAAAGTGGAATGTGAATATAACTGAATGTAAAATAAAAACTATTTTAACTAATCTTTTAATTTGAGCATTTAATTCTTATCATTTTAATAACATAAATATGTTGCCTGGCAGTTAGTAAGGCATTGAAATAAATATAAAATTTTATCATAATATAAACCTGTATTTATAAAAGTGGAGCTCCTCTGAGTAACTACCTTATAATCACCTTTAAAGTTGTGAACAAAATACTGCACAAAATTATAATCAGACTGACTTAATTAGTTTTACATTGTTTCATCATTAGTTTTTATTTGTTTCATCAAGACACCTGAGCTGCTTGGATGAGCTCCTATATCTCAGTGTAAAAAACAGCTAATACCAGGCTGTTCTCTACATCCATTCTGCTGAAGGCTGAAGGTGAACTCAAACATCAGAAAAGCTTACTTTTTGGTCGAAAAAAAGTTTTTTTTTTCAATTGGGTCCGGAAAAAGCAAAACAGATCCCAGCGCTATTTTATTTTACTACCTAAGAAATAAAATGTTTTCATGTACCCCTTGCAATACACTCGCAGACCACTAGGGGTATGCGTAACCCCGGTTGGGAAACACTGATCTATGTCATTCCCTCAGTGAGTTTTTGTGCATCATCTTCTTGTTCTCAGCAGCTAGCTTTTGGATAGCTCTTGGCTCCATGGCCAGTAAGCCTGATAGAATCAATGATATCTGAGTGACCTGATTAGATATTGGATGGAGTGTTCATCACCTTATTAACCAAATATCAACAAAAGATCTTTGAATTCTATGAAGACTGGTCAGTGTAGCTCTACAGTCTGAAACCAGTTTTTATTCAAAATGTTATTTGATTCATGGCAAAAGTTTTATTGGCTTGTTTCAATAGCCCCTTTTTCACAATAAACACACACATCACATTTTATATATATTTGTGTTTTTTTCCAAACATATTTTTGTGGACCTGCTTGCACCTTATATGCCTTAATACTGCTGCATCAGCAGGTCGCTCAATGTGTGCTGTTGAGTTTAATCGTTGTACCCTGTAATGATAAATTATTATATTAAGTCCACTTTAATAGACAAAAAAAATTTTATTAGGCCCACATTTGAGAAATTTAAGTTATGAATATATGTGAGACAAAAAGAACAAAAAGTGAAATAACTTGTTAAAAAAATTGCATCTGTAACAGTATGATTTCAATAGCATATGGGAAGTAATATTGGTTGATCAGAAGATATATTGTGAGCTTTTATTAGAGGAAGATTTTCATGATTTTGTTGCTGATAGCTGGCTTTATTGCTCATCTCCTTCACCTGTCTAGCTCCGCCCTGCTCCTCATCAGATCCACCTGTTCCAGTTTCCTATTTATGCTCCCTGTTTCCCGCCAACAGTGCCAGCCTATACTTGACTTTAGTGTCTGATCCTGATCCATTTTTGCTTTTGCACCTTTGATCCTGCCTGCCCTTGTCTTATTAGTTTCACTGCCTGTCTCCAATCTCCTTCCACATGTGGAACTCTCTGGCAGCGGCCACTGCTTCTGTTCAGTCGACCGGCTGGAACATCCCCGTTCTTTGGACACAGAACTGAATTGTTAAACCAAGTTAGTGAATCCCATATACATATTTATCCTCCATCAGATTATCGCACTAACCAACCTGTGTTTCTTTCAAACAGAGCTTCAGTCATAGACGCTATAGCTGCTTATACCACAGATCCACAGACCGCTCTTGTGTTTTAAATAAACAATAAATAAGTAAGTATTCCACTGTCTTTCTCGCCTGAATTCTGGGTCCTACGTTCTGAGCTTATTACTAAGAACCAACAAGTTTGCCTTACAAGTCTATTAGGGATTGATATGGAGAAAGGTACAGGTGAACAGCTTGATAAATCGTGCCGGAAAAATGTAAGTCTATTTAAAACTGAAAATATATTTATGCATTAACAGAGGCATGGGCATCAGTCCTGACATGGGCTCAAAGAACAAGAAGTGAACAATAACGAACCCTCATCTGAGCACCTTTTCAGGAATCTTATTAAGTTTGAGCAGGTTTCATAGTTTTTTTTTTTTTATAGTAACAGCAGGTGTCAGGCTCAGTTTTGAGAAGTTTAGTTTTTGGGGGAATTTTACTTTTTAAAAACAACTTTGCCCTATAAAAAAGCACTGTAATGTTTGGATTCATTGTAATTGTGATTGAGAGGAGTGCCTGACCCCTTTAAGACATCCTCTATTCCACTCTCTCTCCCGTTATGGTCATGTCGGCCTCATTCACTCTTACTGTTATTGTAACACAGCTGACGGTTGAATGGCACATGTCATTGATGTGGCAGTTTCTGCACAATTGCTTTGCATTTTAAGATGTTTTATAACTACAAAGTATAATTCATTGAATTGTTAAAGTTCTTAATATAAAATATATTTTGAAAAACACTTATTTGTTAAGAAATATGCCATAGTGCCAAACACAAAGTTGTTTAATTAGGGGGTGGTTGGCATAATTGTACAACGATTGCACATTTTCTCCATAATTTTCTCCAACTGAATAAATACAAAAGTGAAATAATAATTAGACCAAAGGAGAAGAGATCCAGAGTTAACACACAACTTCAGCTACTACAGCTAGAAACCACAGATTATGGCCAAAATCATGATGGACTCCGACCTGAACCTTTAGAGGTACATAAAGGCGGTTACCTTTTTTTTCTTTTACCACCTTTAGAACATCTCCATGATTAATGGACTGATGTCCAGGCAGGATCCCAAAGGACTCATTAATGCATTTATTTTTAGCAGAATAAATTACTGCAATGGTGTCTTTATAGTTTTGCCTAAAAAGTCCATCAGACAGCTGTGGTTGATCCAAAATGCTGCTTTTCTGCCCAGTTATGAATTCCTTACCTTGGCTCCCTGTAGCTCAGAGAATAGACTTTAAAATCCTTCTGTTAGTCTGTAAATTACTGAATGGATCAGCACCTCAATACATGACAGATTTGTTGTCAGGTCTTCTAGTTCAAGCCTACTCTAACTGGGAGTGTTGGCCTAGTGGTTTGAGCAGTCTGCCTGTGCTCTGAGAAGGTTGCAAGTACCCGGTTCGATTAGCACAGCCTCCACTCTGCGTTCCTGAGCAAAACCCTTAACCCCCGATTGCTCCCTGGGCACCGCCCAGTGGCAGGCCACTGTTCCCTAAGGGGGTGGGTTAAATGCAGAGAGTGAATTTCCCCATTGAGGGGCCATAAAGGGATTTACATTTATATTACATTACTCTGTATACCCAGGACTAGAACCAGACATGGAGAAGCAGCATTTAGTTCCTATGCTCCACTTATCTGGAACAAACACCCAGAAGACTATAAAAGAGCAGAAAGCCTGAGATCTTTGAAGTCAAAGTTAAAAACCAATTTGTTTAGAGCTGCCTTTGACATTTGAAGTTAAACTGTTAACTGAGGCATTTAGTTTAAGTCTAGATAGACCGGATCTTTCTGAGGATGCATTCAATGGATTTGAACACCGTATGACTCCTTAGCCCTGTCTGGCACTGTCAGGATTAGGATCAGCTAGTTTCTGAGAAGGGATTCCAGTTCCAGTGAGTTCCTATTCCTGCAACAGTAATTTACTTAAAAAAAAACATTTTGTAATCTTACTATTTGTGTTAACTTAATTATCGGGTCTCCACATTCTGTCCAGTCATTAGATTTATGACTAAAAAAGTATAAATAATTCCTATACCACCATTAATGATACTAATTGACTTGCATTTATGCTTTAGTTTGAAATATAACAACAATATATAATGTCTCCAAATATTTAAATCGTTTACGCATATATAGTAAAAAAGTAAGGAAATCTGTTGTGCCTACACTTCATGCTTTTGTTCTCACTCTCTACCTGATTGTTTCTCTTTAAATGGTAACAGGAAGGACATTTTTGAGGTGGCTGAGCAGAATGTGAGTTGCAGCCATTTAACAAACTCCATCTTCTCTCACAGTGCCATGCAGCCTTTTTGTATAGTTGTATATTTTAGTATATTTGTTGGAATTGATTGAAATTTCACATCATTCATTCGGAGCCTGTTAACCATAGAGTTATGAAAAGAGCCACTGGCATGCAGTCAGCCTTTGGTCTTTGTTCGAATACTGCTTTAATCACTTCCCACCTCTCCAGACCAGAGTGTCTAATTCATGTCTGTTGTGTGTGCCACTTGGCTGCCTTCTGCTGCACTCCTGGTGGTGCCGTAGCCTGAATTTGTACAACCCCTGAGCACTTTTCTGTGCACTCTGAGAGTTTATTCAAGTTTTTACCTCTGCTCTTATTAGGAGCTTTTAAATCCCTTTTTAACTCTATATTTAAGGCTTAACAAAGGTCTGCTTGTTCCACGTTGCCAAAGCAGCACCTTGCTCACACACAGCAGGTTCACTGGTGCCTCCTAGACTGTCTAAAACAGAATGAGAGGCAGAACTTTCAGTTTTCAGGCTTTTGTGGAGCAGACCTCAAGTTTTCGTCCCTCTGGCTGACCAACTGCTGTAAACAATTTCCATTATAGATGATAGGTCTGTTTTTCAGTGTTTAGTCTTTCTCTCCTAAATATAGCTAATAGCTAAGCTTTCACTGTGCCTGACTGTATGTGCTCTCTTTTATTCTCTTGACCTGAAAAGTGGCAAAGAGCTCATCTGTCTAGCTTTGTTTCTATTCTCTTGTCAATAACTTTTGTTCGATAGAAAGTATTTCACTGGATCAATAACTCTTTGTTCCTTTTGTGTTTCTATTCTGTCTCCTCTGCAGAAGGCCTTGGTCTTTTGAAGCTGTCTTCTGCTTTAAGAGAATTTTTTCTTTCTCCACTGTTACTACATATGACACTGGAGAGTGTTGTGAACAGGTACTAAATAAAAAAGAATGCAACTAAATTGAGACTAACACCATATGAAGATGAAGCAAAAGGCCTGACAATCCCAAATTTCCAAATAGGGGAGAAAGATTATATCTCTGCTGTAAAGACCCACACTTATTTCAATTCAATTTATTTATATAGTGCGAATACACAATATGGTATCTCAAAGCACTTTACGGAGACAATTAAATCAGATCAGTCAAATTGCTAAAAGAATATTCTAAGGAAAACCAGTTGATTCCATCAAGTCTTTGACTTGGAGGACAAATTCATCCTGGATGAGCTTGTGGTGACGATATTTAATTAAATCTTGCCAGATTAATCAAATAGTGATTGGTTGGCAGGCTGTTTAAGTAGGGAGAAAATAGGTAGGACCCATGAGTACTAATGGCAGGGGGCATGGCTGGTGCAGGATGTGAAGAAACCAGCACTTTTTCCAGAAACATGATGGGTAGTAGGAGGCAGTAGATTCCTGATTCCTGACACAGCAGTCCGTTTTTACGGCACCTGTACCTTGTTTGTTAGAGTCACTTCCTAAACATCCAAACAAATATTATTTTTAATTATGGTTGGTCTTGTTATAGCTTCCAGGAATATTTTTAAACACTGGAAATCGTTAAAGTTTGCTTGTGGTCTACTACAAACCATTTCATTTATTTCAGTTAGACTGAAATACATGAAACGATTGCTGTTTGGATTTGAAAAATCTGGTCGCTTTCTCAGTCACTGTTGTTTTTTTAGGTCAAACTAAGATATCATTAGGCCAAACCCAGAGAGACTTACAGCGACAAAGAGAAAAGATTCCCCAAAAAAGTTCCAAGAGCTTTAAGGTTCCTGGAAATGCTGAATGCTATTGGTTGGTTTTTGCCATATCGGTCCACATGTCAGGAACAAACTGGTCTGACAGACAGTGACCATCAATTTACACATTGTCCAACTGCCCTTCTGGACTGTGAAGTTCTCCACCCTCCTAATGTGCCTTGTGTTTAGGTGACTTTAAAGTTAAAGGCCACAGCACTTTTTACTGGTTCTCTTCCTAATTCTACCTCAAAATGTTGCTTTCCACATTTTTTTATTTTATTGCCATAATTAGTAGAATCAGGGAGGAAATGGACCAGAGGCCTGCAGCAGAGTCCACCATGTAAGGTCTGCACAGGCTAATAAAGAATAAAAGTAGCTGAGAAACCATTTATAGTGATTTTAATATTTAATTCAACTGTGATTTTTAGTCCTTATGCTATTTTAAATTTTGCTTTTAACATTTTTTGTTTTTTACTGTAATGAAAGAAAGGGCAGAGTCAGGGAGGAGATGGACCAAGGGCCAGCAGGAAGGAGAATGATGGAGATTCTTTACAGGTAAGGTCAGATTATAACTTCCCGAGAATATCTATTGCAGGGAGAAACCAGGCAGCAATTAGCAAAAGATTTTCACAGGTATTTCACATGAAACGTGAAATTCAATGCAAGACTGATAAATCACTTTGAAAAATGTGCCCCCCCTTACATCTGAGATGATAGTTACGCCCCTGGATGTTAACCCAGACGTCAGTCCAGAACAATATCTCCCATAGAGAAGTTGTTCTTCGGTTAAAACCTCTTCACTTGAAGGTTATTGTGTATTTAGAAAGACTTTCAAGGATAGTTAGGTACACCAAGTGAAAAGAAGCTATATTGACTGCTTATTTTCGTCTTTTTAATGTTCAATTGTTAGATTTTGATTACCTACTCAAATATATTATGCCTAGTAACTGATCCAATGGGGGCAGTTGATAATAGACACAAAGATGGATAAACATATCCATAGATGCCTTAATATAGCAAGGTTTTTAAACAAATATAGCCTTCTTTAGCTAACTATTTAGAAAATTGTTTACTGTTGGAATGATCTGATTTCCAAATATTCACTACAGTCTTGCTGCAGAATGTGGCAAAAATAGAATAAAATTAAGTTTTTAAGTTAATCTAGCCAACTTTTATTTAGTTTGGACCTTGGAGACTCTGCACCATTGGAGCCATCACTTGTGGGATTGAAAGCCAGATCCTCTTGCAAGATCCATATATGGTGGCTATGGTCCTCGGCATGGCTATCACAGGAGTCCTGGCCTGGTGACCTTCGCAACATGTCTTTACCCTCTCTCTTACCCTATTTCCTGTCTGCCTACTTTCATGCATAACAGAAATAAAAGCCACTAGAGCCTAAAAAGAAAAGAAACAGATCTAGGTACATGCAATAGCATCTATGTTTCTACTGAAGCTGGCTCAGAAGATGGCCGTTCTGGGGGGGGGTGATGTTATGGTCTGGGAGAAGGTCTCCTTCATGTTCTTCCACCTACCAAAGGTTGACGGTGCTGACAGGTGGTCCTCATCTAAGCCAATTGCTGCCAGCCCTTTGTTGCCAGAGCATTGTTTCTGTTTCAGTCTGAATTTGTGTAACTACTGGGTAATGGTTGGAGAAACGCTGGACCTGCATGTACACACCTAAAACTGTGCTGTCATAATAACAGGATCTCGCAGCAGGTTTCTCATTTAAATGTAAAAATAAGCTAATGAATGTGTTTAAAAACACAGTTTTCACAGCAAACAACACCAGTCAATATCAGGACAAATTAAATGAAAACAGAATAACATTGAGACTTAACTTCTGTGTGTAAGTAAATGGGGGGTATCTTGACATGTTCAAACTGTGTGTGATTAAAAAAAAACCCTGATGGATTACTGCAGGCCCTGTCCTCCAACATATCTCCACATTTTAAAATGTTTATGTGTTTAAACTCTTGGGGTTTCTATTTAAATAGCTCTGTTATGTCAGACCAGGCCCATGAAATTTGATCTAAAGCCACAACAACATGGGACAATAAAGTTTCTTTTAACAATCATAGACACTGATTAGCCTGTTAAATGGTTTGGAACTAATCCACCTAGAAACTGAGCCTATTTAAAGCAGCTGTCAGCTCAACGGCCCGTTAAAAAGCATCAAACCTCACTAAAGCGAGGGTGAAGCTTTTCAATAGAGGTAGAACTGAACCCACACAGAATATTTTCCTCTCTCACCTATGATGATGGTACAGGCACTCAGCAGTCCAATCTCCTTCTTCAAAGTCACTCTGTCAGGGATTTCTTTTTTCTTCTTCTTCTTCAAATTTACAGCTGGTTGATGTGTCCGAGAACAGATATTGTTGCAGTTCTGTCCATCCATGTCTGTCTGCTTGGTTCTGATCGGATCTGAGTTAACCTCAGCCCCCGTACTCCCAGAGCTCTTGTCCTCTCCTCACTCCCAATTCATGCACATTCAATGGGCTGCGCTTGCGCAACAACCGGCCACTCTCCAGGATAGAATGTTAAATATCCAGAGCCCACCATGATACGTTCAGGGATCCCGGGAGGAAACATCTTTCAAACCACATCCAGAGTTCCCACTCGCAATAGTAAATTTGCAATGCAAAAAATTTAAATCTAAATAGGTAATTATTTTCAATAAAAAAGTGCATTCATTCTTGAATCGAGGAGGTAAGTGAGACACTTTGCCAATGGAACAACACAATTTACATTTAAAATTAGAACAAACAATGGCATAGTCGGATTTCAAGTGCATATTATCTAATTATCTTATTTAAAAAGTAAAGATCGTTGTATTTATTTACTCAAATTAAGGGTAAATAAACTTAATCTAAGAAATGTTTAGTTATTTTTAGATTGTTTTTGCAGTGTGCTGCTGGACTTATTGATCAAGATCAAATGAGACATCAAGAAGCCTCTCAGAAAACCTGAAGAACTAAAGTTGTAGCCAAGATTACTTTAAACAGTCATAAAAGTTTGACTGTGGATAGTTATTGTCATGATTTTAATCAAATTTAAAATCCAAACTCTCAGGTCAGACGTTATAGGTGTCATATATGTAAAATCTCCTGTGTGTCTCTCTGTACGAATTCAAATGATAGCTTTTAGCTTCTGTTTTTGACACTACTAGGGTAGCCACCTTTGATAAATGAAAATAATAATGCAAAAAATTGCTGCATATAAAGCAATATAGCAAACAGTGAGTGAATTATAATTAAGTGCCCAATGCACATGACAGTAATTGCACAGTTATATATATCTAATGTATTATCTAGCACATGACACTAGTACCTAAAGGTGATCAGTTTGTGTTGTGTGTAATTAAAAACCATTTAAACATATATAAATATTAAATTTTGCCAGTGCTAAATGCTCATAAAACTTTACTATAAGAGCTTCCAAACAGCAGCAAACTGATCTGCATTCCCCACAACATCAAACTTCTCTGATAACTTTCCAATATTTAATCTGAATACTGGGTCCTTATAATAAGAAATAAAATGCACAAAGAGATCCTAAAAAAACTTTTTAAAACTAGGAAAAAAGAAAAAAAAAAGAAAAGAAAAATGTACTTACTTTAACAATGTTTGTTTGCTGAAATATTTTTAATCTTAGATGTTACTCTTTAAATAGCTGCTTAAATATGCTGGAAATATTTGATAATCTTCCTTGTCCTCATCCCCGCCGACACTGTTCAGCTAGGGATTTGCTTCTTCATTTACATCTATATTTTTGAATGCGTTTCCTTCAGAGGAACTGGTGGAGTATTGTGTGTGAGCATGGGTGAAAGGGACTGTAGGTGAGGGGGGTCCGTCTCTAAGTGACAGTAGCTGATGTGGAGCTGAGCAGGTCCTGCTAAGGACCCATCAGGACAATTTAGCTGGTTTTATTAGTTCCTATGATTTATTTAGTTAATATTTTTTATTTAGTGTTGATGTGAAATTGAAATATATGTGTATAGTGCATCTATGAAAATACAGGAAAATCATGACCCTCATTGGTTGAATATGGGATGCAAGGTATAACAGTCAAATAATTTAAGGGACGGGTGGCAACCCTAGCTACTAAAGAAAATTTGGGAGGATTAATAAATGTAGACAATCAAAGTCATCCATAAACCTCAGTGATATTTTGGCTTTCTAAGGAAAATTTCTATATTTACATGATGGAAAGCTATTACTGTAAGAGATATTATGTAACTCAGTGTTTCCCAACCGGGGGTACGCGTACTCCTAGTGGTCTGCGAGCGCATTGCAAAGGGTACAAAAATATTTTATTTCTTAGAGTTATGGATCTCTTTTGTTTTGTGAGGATCCAATTGAAAAAAAAAACTTTTGTTAACCAAAAAGTAAGTTTTTGTTATATGTTTGAGCTCATCTTCAGTTTTGACACACATCGAAACCAAGCAGAGGAACAGAATGGATGTAGAGAACAGTCTGGTATCAGCTCTTTTCACACTATAGGGCTCATCAAAGCAGCTCGGGTCACTGGATTAAAACAGATTAAAACTAATTAAGTCAGTCTGACTATACATTTTGTTCTCAATTTATCAAGTGTAATTACTCAGACGGGCTCCAGTTTTATAAATACAGGTTTTATAATATGATTTTGTTTTGTATTTGATTTCTTACTAACTTTCAGGCAACATATTTAAGTTGTTTTTTTTTTATTTGAGATGGAAAGCATAAAGTTACAAAAAATTTATTGGGAAACACTGATGTAACTGAATGACCAATGAGAATGCTGTCATTTAATTTTAAGTAAGAATAATGAACAAGAAAATTAAAAATCCAAAAAAAGACAATTATTTAGTAAAAAAAAAAAAAGAAAAGAAAACAAGAACAAAAAACAGACACACTTATAGCCATCATAGCTTATATTTGTAGGATACATACCATAGATAAACAAAATGAAAGATGAACATACCATGTACCATGGGTGCTATCCACTCTGCCGCCATGGTCCCATCTGATTCTAGCCCAGTCCACCTCCACTGGGCTACTGCCTCAGAGGCTCTAAGCACCAGGTGCTCAACCTCCAAGGAGTTATCTGTGAAAACAGAAAATAAAAAACATCCCAGAAATGAATGCATCACTAGGAGAGGCAAAAACTAGTTTTTGTACATCTTCAGAAAGAAAGGCACCAGTGAACACAATGCAATAAAACTGCACCCACACGGAAGAAAGCAGTGATAAATGATCTCCACAATAAAGAGAAACCTCTTCAGAACAGCTATCCAAGAGAATAACACCACCATCCAGGAAGCAAGCTTACCAAATCTACCATATAGAGAGAACTTAATAAAAGTAAATACAGAGGGTTCAGTATAACCCACTGGTATACCTCAAACGTAAATGGGCTAGATGGGATCTTGCTGAAAAAATTGGAAGAAACTGAAAGAAAATTATTTTAAAAACATGAGAAGAGAGAAAGATCAATCTCTACCAGAGCAAAGGGAAGGGAAAATATGAGCCATGGCACACCACATCATCTGTCAAACACAGGGGAGGCAGTGTGATGGTTTGGGCATGCTTGGCTGCCAGTAGCACAGGGTCACTGGTTTTTACTGTTAATTGGTGAGCATGTACTTAACAGTAAAAAAAAAAAAAGAAAAAAGACTTGAAATAAAAAGCCCCACAAGCAGTAAAAGCCTGGCAGACATTAAAAAAGAGGAGACGCAGTGCCCGGTGGTGTTTTTAATAAAGCTGCTAAATGCCTCAGCTCAGCTATTTGTAACCTCCTGCTAAGTAGCCACGTTGTGACTGTGGCTGGCCTGCTACCATGTAGATTCTATTATATAACCATACAATAAGACCACCCTTTCTCATTGCCTAGTGAAGCAGAAATGCAAACACAAGATAGAAAAAAGAATAGAAAGATAGAAAATAAAAATAAAAAGCAAGTAATCAAATAATAAAAATGAAAATTATAATGACATTAAAAACACTAGGTTATTATTGTAAATATGAATAATAGATGTGCGAATTAAACGTACTTACATATTAATTTCTAATTGTAAAATTTTACTTCTGCACTTCTGTGATTTATTTCTTACCAATTTAATTGTATGCCCATGCATTTACTGAGAAACAGTTTATTTATTTCTTTTTTATTATGTCAGAGTTGGTCCATCATAACATTCTGGCCTCCTCTCGACAATATTTTAAACATTTCTGTACTTTTGTAAATGCTATAAATGCATTTCTGATTTTAGAACAGCCTTTGCTAATGCAGCTATAAGGCTCGGGCACAGCGCGTTGCATTCTGGGTACGCCGCCATATTAGTAGCTAGTTGCTACCGTTGCTACGGTAAACAAAGACCTAAAACAGCATAGAGACAGAGCAGAAAGACGAGTAAACAGCGATGTTAAAAGCGAAGAAAGGATGCGGAATATACCGAGACACACTGCAGAGGGAAGCCAGGGACCGTTATCTGCAAAAGATGGGCTTCATAAACGGACTTGATCCCTACGAAGTAGAAAGCAAGGAGTGGTGCGTTGGGGAAGAATTTCTACCGCCGTTTGCGAGGGAGGACGTATTTTCGTATCTAGTGTGTGGCGTCAGTGCCTACACACATGAAGAGTTTCGCTGCTACAAGTCGCTAGAGGCTTACAAACAGCTGACAGATGGAAAAGTTCATGACATGGAAGTTATCAAGCCGAATGAGAACACAGTCATCAGAGCCAAGGTAAGCTACCGTCTCAACATGGTGTGGTGTTTGTTGTGGTGATAAGACTAGGTGCTGGCACTAACGTAAAACATCAAAAATGTATCTAAATAAATCTTGTGCTGACTGTACGTGTCCAGGGATAATGTAGTTACATTCTGATGATATATGACTGTCCTAGCATGGTACTACCACGCAGGGGCGGAGATAGATGAATAAAAAAGTATGTTCTGTAACTTACCAGAATGAAAATGCCGGGAACACACTCTCATGGACACTGGGATTGAGTTGAAAGTTATATTTGGCCGTCTTACAGCAGCGACCCATGCTAGCCGGCGACTCTTTGTTATGGAGGACATTTGTTTTCCATTGAGACGCCTCCAGGTTGGAAAACGGTAAAAAGACAATCCATTTGGGATTTTTTTCCCCGTCCAGTCACAGCTTGCGCTACTACACCCTACGACACAGCAACGGGCGACCATAACGACAGCAGAGGTAAAATGAAACGGCAAAAAACTAAGCAAACTACTAGCAGAAGAAAGCTAGTCCTTACAGGCGCGAAGTCAAAGTGTAAACAGTGGGCTGACCAGCTATCAATATGTCTGCCGCGCAACGTGTGACGTCATGTGCCCGAGCCTTATTGCTTTATAAACAGAGGAAGCTCGGGATAAACGTGGTCCAAATACGGACCAATCAGCTTCTCGGATTCCTCGACCGTCCCTCCCACTCCGTCCAATCAGAGCGTTCTTCACGTAACTCTGCGAATCAAACTTCTTGCACCAATCGGGAGTTTCGTTCGCTCCAACCGCAGTACGGATTTTTCTGCAACACCAGGACTACGCCACACATTTCATATTTCTACAAACTCCATTATAAGACATCAACAGTGTGGATTTTCATCCCGGTAAGAACTAAATTAATGTATTTGAGTTACTTTTTCTTTCCGTTTGTTAGCCCAGCTTTGATATATTGAGTTAATCTCTGAACCATTCAAGAGTTTCAAGACAGTAGCATCTGTAATAGCTAGCTTAACCGTCCGCCTCGTGCTGTGTTCATTGATGGTACTGTTTAATCTTTCTGTATTTTTTACATAAAGACGGGTATCCTTTGTTCAATGCCAGACAGTTTTGATTCGCCCAGTAATGTTTTATAACGTTTCGTTGTTGTTTTTGATTGAAGTGTTGCATATAGGTGTTTACATTGACGCTGTCGGCAGAGAGGCCGACGAGTGTCTGGGGCGGCCATCTTGGGTCAGACCACAGTTCAGACCGCCGTTGTTATCTTATTTTAATCACATGCAAGACAAGTCAAAGATAGTATCACAATAATCTCTTACAAATTCATTATTTTTAAGGATTGCTCTTTCATAAAGATTATTATGATCTGTATAGGAAAATTAGTTTTAATGCTATTTACAAAAGAGATGAAAGATATTTAGTATTTTTATCAATTTCAATGTTAACTTTTATTTATATTTTGTCATTGTCACTTTTTTGTCATATAGTGAACGTTAAATTTATGTTGTGTTTAACTAAAGGGTTTTTGTCATTATAAGTTGGTTTAAACTTCTTCCAAAACTATTATAATATTCAAATTATGTCTTTTAATATTCATGCAAATCTGAACATTTACTCTTTTAATCAGTTAATGTGTGTCATATATATACCGATATATATATATATATATATATATATATATATATATATATATATATATATATATATATATATATATATATTAGGAGTAGAGCGGTTCACAAAATAGGTTCTGTTCACGGTTTCGTGGACACGGTTTTCGGTTCGGTATATGTTTATTGTTACACCGAAAAATAATTTTTTTTATAAAAATTGAAAAAAAATTAATGAAAAAATAAAAATTTATGAAATTAATGAAAAAATCCAAAAAAATTAATACATTGTAATTATTTTTAATGATCCGCGGAAACCCTGGATCATTTCCGCATGTTTTGCTGCTTTGAATCTAATCATCTTGCGCATGCCCTCTACGATCTCCAAGGAACTCAGAGCGGACGGGAGCCACCGCTGAGGATGTAGGCTTTGCTTTGCCCAGGCGGTCTGGAGAGTAGCAGGGCGGAGCGGAGCGCTGATGGAGTATGTGGGATTTCGGGGTTAGCATGACATGTTGGTCATGTTGCTGTTAGCATAAACAAAACGTGTTGCACAATGTTTGCACACTGTTGCACTTTTATCCACAAGTTTCTTTCCGCCGTCATCGTAGGTCACTCTAAATGCAAAGTGGTCCCATACGATCGCCATACCCACACAATTCTCCACAACAACTGATTTTTTTCTGCTACACCCGGCTACGCTACTTTGCTTCTTCTTGTTTACTACTGGTGGTTGGCTTTGGTCGCAGTACCGCCACCTTCTGCTCTGGAGTGTAAACGCTTCGCCTATGAGAAAAAGGAGCAGCGCATGAACCGAACACAACACACGCGAATTGAACCGAACGGTTCGGACGGTTTTCATAAACCGTTCCATCCCTAATATATATTAGGGCTGCAACAACGAATCGATAAAATCGATAATAATCGACTTTTAAAAGCGTTGGCAACAAATTTCATCATCTATTAGTTGTCTCGCGCGATAAATGCGTCATCCGCCGCCGCCGTCATCACTGCCACTTGACTGAAACGGGGGAAGAAAAAAAAATTACGGCAGAGCGAGCCAGCACTGCAGGTGTGCAGTGTTGCCAACTCAGCGACTTTGTCGCTACATTTAGCAACTTTTCAGACCCCTCCAGCGACTTTTTTTTTTAAAAAGCGACTAGCGACAAATCTGGTGACTTTTTACGGTGTCACTGGCGGCTTTTGGAGACTCTTACGTGAAAGCATGTATGTATCGTTCCTACTCTTGTCCTGCAGCAGCAGCTGCTGCCGTGAGGTGCCTCCCCCATCCCAACCCCGTTCTCCCGCAGGAATCCCTCTCAGCGCTGCAGTCAGAGCCGCAGGATGTTTCAGCGTCCAGACTGCAAATGAAGTGCGCATGCGCCGGGATTGACGGCGCAAATTGATCACAATACCGTAATTAAAATAGCCTTTATAAATAAATTGACTTGCAAATTATGAGGGCAAGGCTTTTGAAGTTTAAATCTTCTGGCAAAGATAAAGTAAAGAGGATCCTGCAATGTATGGAAGTAAAGCATAAAATCCAGCAAGATCAGTAATACGTCAATTAAAGCTACAGTGTGTAATAATTACAGGGATATACAGTCAGAAATGTAATATATTATACATAACTATGTTATTTATCATCATCTACGAGCTCAGCCTCTTAACCTTTATATTTGCGTTGCCTTAGAATTCGTTATTTATAATTACATATGAGCGGGTCTCACATCCATGGAGCCAACAAACTAGTGATTGCGAGATCGCCCATTACGCTCGAAAGTAACTGCGGCAAGTTGAGAGAGATGAACTGAGACGGTACTGAACAATAGATAGCAGTATTATGCCTGAGAATACTATCTGTAAAATTATCTATGTAAACAAACCTCATCACTTGAGAAGGTAGGTGATGCGGACGTCGTGGAAGACATTTTGTCCCGTAACGCTCGGGGGGGAGAAGCGGTGGGGGGGAGATGTTCATGTTGCTGCGGTCTGCAGTCTGGACGTTAGATGTCGCTAAAAATTACACACTCTAGCTTTAATTATCTGCCACATTCCCATGTAAATATGTGTCTTTGGAGCATGTGTTTTTTAGCACCCCTAGTTCTCTCATTTTTATTCCAAATACAATTTATAATTTGAATCACAGGGCTATTTTTATCTCTATGGTTAAGTATTTTCTCAAGTAGCAACTTTAACTGCTATACTTTCCTGTCTTAAAAGGCAGAACTCTTCTAGTCTAAAAAAACTCATTTGTTGAAATGGGGGGACCTATTGTTTTAAAAACAAAAATTCCTGTCTTTTTTTGCGCTTTATGAAACAAAGTACCCTATATTTTGTGGATGTACAGCTACATTTCTCATGTAAGTTTGCGTAGTTTTATCGCAAACATTTATTTTTCATATGCACCAGTACAGTTAATGAGCAACCTGTACTTGTGTGCTTGTTTGTTCTGTCTGAAATGTTTATTTTGGAATAAAGAGGTTAATATAAGAAATATTTTTTGTCCGATTCATCGATATAGATATAGATATATATATATATATATATATATATATATATATATATATATATATATATATACATACACACACACACACCAGAAGAAGGAAGCTATCCTGTTGGGTCAAAGCAGATTTATGTTCAAAGGGATTGTATTGTCTACCCTGTTCACACAAATACAAATCATCCATCCATTATCTGATACGGTTGTCCCAATTGGGGTTGCGAGGGGTGCTGGTGACTATCATTTCCAAAATTGCTATCATTTCTGAGAAGAAAAAAAACAACAATTTCGATTCATTTTTGAACTGATGCAGGTTGGTCTGTGTACTAGTCACCCAATTTTATAAATTGGGAACTAGATGGTGTTAGCTTTCAAATAATGTATTGCACATGTAATTCGGGCTTACAGTTCCTAAGTTATTTGCTCTTCCATTTGGGTATGCAAGATAGGAGAGGATTACCCAAAATGCGGTGGATGTTAAGAGGTTAATTTCCCTCTTAATTCTGAGAAACTGCTCTGCTACCTGTGCTCTCATGCTTTATTCCTTTACTTCAAGTGCTCAACAGCTTTGCTGTTTCCTTGCAATCCTTTTTTCCCATGCATTGTTACTGAGAGATGTCTTTTGGGCCTCAGGTGCTCAGGCAGGTCCTGCTGGTGCCCTGCTTCAGAGCGAGCGGTCAAATCAGGAGTGTTTGGAGGCCATGGCTGAACATGGAGCCCACGCTCAGCTTCCAGAACCAGCTGAAGTGAGTGGAGAGCAAATGTCAAACAGGTCTCTGTAACAGGCTCAGTCAGAGGTCTAAGTGTGGCCTTTCTGCAGATGCTGCCTCAAACCTGGAGGGCAGCGCTTAAGGCAGAGCAGCAGGAGTGGATCAGCCAGACGCTGTTCATCAGGGACCACCTGGGGAGGCCTCGCCTCACTACAGACCTCAACCTGTGGTGGTTCCCTCCACAGCCCCAACCGGTCTACCACCAGCCTCCCGCATCCCCTGAGCCCTTCTTTGCATGTCGGCTGTTCCTGTGGATGCCCCACAGGATCTGGCGTCTGCAGCTGACGTGCCCCCAGCCTTCGTGCACCGGGTCCATGGCGAAGGCTGGGCTCTACAGGACCATCCGGAGGGTCCTGGACATTGACGGCTGGTACCTCATGGCCACCGAGTACCTGGAGTGCCGTCAATGTAAAAAGAAGGTCGCGGGATGGTCACAGGGCATCATCAGGCAGCTGTCCCCCACCTACAGCTGCCAGTTTCCTGCTGTGCTCACTTACAAGTAAGACACAACCTTTGATGACGGTGGTTCTTCCTGGTGAACTTGATGAGAGCAAAAAGTCTGAAGCACCTGGATGTTACAGTTTATATCTGCACTGGTATGGAAGCCCACTAGGGACAAAATAAACTAAAAAGTAAATAAACAAATGTAATAAGGTGTACCATTAACCCTGTAATGCCAAATGTATCATATTTGATACATACGGTTTCTGAAATGTTTTGCGTCTGACACCTTTTGCATAATTTAATGGTAAAAACTTTGCTCAAAATCCTATTGTACACAATCAGATATACCTGATAACAGAGGGCAGAAGACTACACAAAAAATAATCTTGACTTATCGCATAGTAATAAATTATTAATATCAAAAATGTATTTCTGTTTTTTCTTTTTACATATTTTGTTAAAAGGGCAAATAAGGACTTCAAACAAAAAAAAGTAATTTTCTGTTTTGTTTTATTCTTGGATCAGGCCTTAAAGGGTTAAGTACCTCACCAATAACTTGGTTTAATACAGGAACATACTACTAAAATATGAAAGGAACAGAAAAAAATACACAAGGTAATTAATACGAAAATGAATGAATACGCTAATTATCATATATTTGTCTTATCGCATCATTGAATCACTGCCTTCATTGATACATTTACTTTGTTTCATGTTTATTTAATTGTTGATTGAAGTGTTTAATATTCAGACTATGTTTGATCCCTGCAGGCTGTCTTGTGACTTGAGGGTGGTTGGACAGCTGAGCTCTGGTCCTCTGGGCAACAGTGCGAAGCAGCTCTACAACAACCTGAGGGAGCTGCACTCAGATTCCTGGATGCGTAGATCCTCACACTACCTCGGTGTGTGCGAGCAGTTCTTTTGCTCTGTCTCGGGGGCGTTTGCACCACCACCGCCCATGCCACCTGTACCGTCTCCAGCCTGCCTTCTGACGGTCTACGGCTACGACATGGTTATGCGACTGGAAGAGTACAAGGCGCTGATCACTTCCACCTTTGGAACCATTTTGAAGATATATTCCAGCAAAGAGGTGTGAAACTGTCAGTTGAATGTAGGTGTTTGTAAATGTTGCTTCCTCTGTTCCTCACTCAAACTCTGTTCAGGTGTCAAAGAAGCTCGCCAGTGCCACCTCCAATGCAGACACCTGGATCACCAGCGTAGGTAACGAGCATGGCCAGGTCCTCATGAGCGTCCTCACCTGCTCTGAGGGGTCCGAGGGCCTGAGCACCATGGCAGCTGGATTGATGAGGCGGTACCGACTCGCTGACAAACCTCCACCACTTGTGGTCTACGTCGACCGGGACTGCTGCAGCAGAGACGGCGTGTCAAAGACAGCTGCCTTGTTTCATGTGAGAGCTGAGATGATTGAAGCTTTTAATACTCCTGTAGCCTCATCTAACTCACCCTGATTTCTGTCGGGTAGGAATGGGGGAACCTCGTGGTCCGTCTGGACATCTGGCACTACATGCGATGTATCGCAGGTGGTGTCACGACAGAGAGCCATGAGCTATACCCCACCTTCATGAGGCAGCTGTCTCGCTGCATCTTCGATGTGGACCCTGAAGATGCCCGCCGTCTCAAAGAGGCCAAGCGATCGGAGCTGGGGAGGGAGCACGGGATGTTCAACCTGAGCGACGCAGAGGTCATCCAGAGGATCTCCAAGGAGGAGTGGAGGCTGCACTGTCGCCACAGGACGCGTGGGGCAGAGCAAACAGCCCTCCTCATCCAGAACCTCCTGGACACCTTCCGCGGTCCTGCAGGGAGAAACACCCTGAACATCCCGCTGCTGGACGATCTCCGCATCCAGGACATCTGGAAGACGCAGATGCGCCACCTCAGCTGCATCCAGGACCCGCCCGGCGTGCAGCTTTACACCCAGACTAGGACAACAACTAAGGGCGGAGTCAGCCTCCCCGTGTATCGCTGCACCAGGGGTTCCAGCTCCCTTCAGTTCTTCCACCTCCACCTGAACCGCTTCATCCCAGGTAACATCCAGTGCTCAATATTAGATTTTCTGTTTGGCCCACTTGAAGCTGAGTCCAGTCCTTGTAACCAATGCTTTCCTCAGGGACATCTGTCAGAGCCAGATACTCTCAGGCGTTTCTAGTGGATGGAGTGGTGAGGTGGAACGAAGCCCATGCAGCTAGAGGAAAGAAGTCTCTGCGTTCCTACAGCAGCCACCTCAGACACGCCCTCAACCAGAAGAGTCACAGGCTGCTTGGATACCCGCTGGTTGAGGATGACACCCAGCCTGCGTCATATACAGGTCACAGGTGTGCAGTCAGAGGTACTCGCTCCTTCAGAAGAAAAGACTCTGAACAGTTCGTCTGGGCTTTATTACAGGAGAGCTCATCGGGCTGGAGTACCTGGTTCAGCAGACAGGAGCTGTGTTGGAGGACGTCAGCCTGGATCCTGACACTCCAGATGAAGAACCTGCCTTTTTCACCATGGATGATGTGGATGAGGGGACAGAGGAGGATGATGAGGACCCCACCTTCTTCCCACCAGATCCTTCTTTATTATTGGCAGCATCTCAAACAGGATCTGATGAACCTAGGTCTCGGTCTCCCCTCGACTCTGCCAAAGGATCTGGAAGCCAGGCTCCTCCTCGAGAGCCACCGTCAGACATTGAGGTGAACCAATAAGATCTGAAACATCTTCTCAGAGCAAACCTTCTTTAAGCTTTGGATGATCAGTCTGGTTCTCTTCCTCACTCCAGTCTTTATTCTCTACATTTGTTTCCAGGAAGAGGTCATAGGTCCCGATGGTCAGCCAGGATACCAGCACGTCCTGAACCTGGCTAAGGCCCTGGTGGAGGCCAGAAGCCTGAACGGGCTCAGTGATTCCAAGGTGGACATGCTAATCTCACTCTGGCAGCGTCTTCCAGACGCAGACAAGCAGAGGCAGGTGGAAGGAAAGACCACCACCTGGCCAAGCAGAGAGCCTCCAGCAGTCAGGTGGATTTACAGAAACTTTTTTTTCTCCTCTAACATCTGCCTCTTTAAAAAAAAAAACACCATTCCTTCTTTGATGCCTTCCAGCTGTTCAATGAAAGTGAACAGGACCCAGCCAAACAGGCCTGAATCCAGCCGCCTGGTGGAGGCCATCTGCAGCCAGCTTTGTCGTGTGCATCCCTCAGCCACGCGGGTCAAGGGGATCTTAAGGACCCGCTGGTCCCTCATCCTTGCAGACTATGTGTCGATAAGGGAGATGGTGCTGGGGAGCCCAAGGCTGATGGCAGAAACCACCATCCAGCTGTTCCCATTGAATCAGAGGAATATTTCCAAGTGGTGAGAGCTGTGCAACTGACCTGGAGTCTTTTCATCCGCTGAACATGTTCTTCAGAGTTTGTGGGTCTGATGTCTGTCTGCAGGTTCATTGGTCGGCAGAAGAGGTGGGCCAGGCCTGTTCTGAAGCCAAGACCAGCAGTGGTCTCTCCCCCAGCTGCTATCCAACAGGCCCAGCTCCCTGAAGAGGAGGTGCTCTTAGTGCTGGTGGGGCATGGACAGCCCTATATTAGCGACGTCTCTGATGTGGAGCCAGGCCCGTCCAGCAGGGGTCTCCCTACTCTTCAACCAATACCACACCAGGTGCAGCTGCCTGCTACCTTACACCTGAGCGACAATATTCAGCCGCTGCCTGGTCTTCCAGTCGTTCCCAGATCAACAGCCTACAGGAAGAGGAAGGCAGCACCAGGTGGTCACTTACCAATGAGGAATAAGCAATATATTTGCAAGAAGTGTGGGCAGCCTAAAAGACTGGACACTGGACACTCGAGGATCAGGGGGGTGTCCTACTGTGCTGCCTTTGAGGGTCAGGCTGTGGAGGAGTGGATGAAGAAAATGAATGACAAAGGAGGGATGTAAGAACTGCTCTGTAATTTTTGGATAATTTGATCAGTAAAAACGTGTTTTTAAAGTCATTGATTGGAACTGAAAGCATTTGAATGGAACATCTGATGAATAAAAGTTTCCTTTTTTGCCTTAAGCTCTTTGTTCTTTCTTAGAATCAATCAACACTTTGTGGGACAAACCAAAGCATTTGGTTTTAAAGCTATGGTTGGGGAGGTAGTTTGATTTGAAATCTGCACACACCTTCCCCCTCCGTTCAAAGCTCCGTCCTGCTCCCTCAATCTTGAAACATGCATCTCACAGGACTGGGAAAAGCAGAGGAGCCAAGTTGACTATTTCTTTAAATACATTTTGAACTTCAGCTGATCTACCTTATGTCTCATTCACCTGTGAATAAACTATATCATTAAGGCTTTCAACCTAGCATGTTAGGTTTAGCAAGTTATATTTAGCAATACTTGCCTCACGAGTTTAACAAAGGGGTGCCTTGAACAATAGGCCAAAACTGATGAGTGCATGTGGAGGAGGGACAGAGATGAAAGCATCTGAAAAGTTTTTCCATTCGGATCAAACGGCAGGAATTGGTCAGTTTTTCAGGCTTGCAGCTCTCACCGACACCTGATATTTTTTTTTCCTTTTTCAGAATATATAAAGTATTGACCACTCAGGATGGAAGGACCATTTCACAGAATATAACAAAAAGTTTCTGATTACTATCTATAGCTTTATTGAACAAATAAACCTGCATATGTTCATATTTGGATCTGCATTAATGATAAAAAGGTAAGCGATTATACAAGACCAACTGTGAGGGGGTACCTGCACAGTATTTGAGAGCCACTGCCACCCCACCTACAGAAGATTCAGATTCTCCCTCCTTCAAAGGCGGCATCTCTGATTACATCACAGCGAGGGGCAGGGCCTGTCTAAAGCCACGGATCCTTCAAAGGCAGCCAACAAACATGTCTTTGTTTTTGTTGGGTTATTCTTTTTGGAATTACTAGAATCAGCATATAGATAGCTTTAGATCATTTTAAACTTCAATGTCTACAAGTTTATCCAAATTTCAAAAGTCAGGTATTTTTTTGAGCCAGTTGGCCTCTGCAGCTGTCAGCTGATGGGGCAGCCTTCTCTTCCTCATCTCTCTGGAGAAAAGGAGACAACTTTTTTCAGTTTTTCCACCTACTGGTTGCTAGATAAACGCCTCTCCTGCTGAACGAGCCAGTCTCCACCTGCAGGTTTATCACAGACAGGAAGCTGGGAGAACTGTCTGCATCCTGGACACCAACAATCGTCTGGTGACCTGGTGGAGCCACAACAGTCTGGAGCTCACACTGTGAAAAGATTGGACACGGTTGTAAACCTTAAAAGGAGCACAGATGGTGATGCTGACCTTCTGCTCCAATGTCACTAAGTTCATATTCTAGTTGCTGTTAAGTTGCTGATAACCTATGGTTCTTTTTCAGGTTACATGATATATGTGAACAATACCCAGATGCTGACTCCTAATTACGACCCACCAGAAGAAATTGGTCAGTGTCATAAATGGAATTCCATAGCAGACAACATCAGTTGTTTAAGTGTGAAAATACATCAAAATTTAACCCAATAGTTTAAAAACATTATGAGCCGTTGAATACAACACTAGAAGAAGACACACACAGAAGGAACACTATCCTCTTTTTGGATTTAAATTGTAGGTTTGAATCAGTAAGGTTAAATATACTCCCCAGAATGCTGTATTTATTCCAAAGCCTGACAATATCCCTCCTGAACAGTTTGTAGAGTGAGAGGGACAGAATGGTGTTCAAATATAGGTAGAGAGGACCACCCTCATGGATGCTGACACCTCCTTGGTCTTCAGGAATCTCCAGGCACCAGACACAGAGAGGAGATCCACCTCAGCTGCTCTCCTCACAGGATGCCTTTTCACCACGGTCCACATCACCTCGAAGTCCACAGCTTGGAGGGAGTGACTGTTAAAGTCAGAGCCAACATCTGCAGCAGCTGTGGGCTTCAAAAGAGCAAGCAGATGGGCTTCAGAGTACCGACCAAAGCCAGCGGGCAGAGGGTCCTCTACTGCCCTGAAAGGTTGAAGTGAGAATACTAATCAGGTTGGGAAAGGACTTAAAAACAGGTCTTAGGAAATATTTTCTGTTCAACCTGAAGACCATCTCACCCACTTCAATAATGACCATCAGATAGCTCCAGGCACACAGGAGGGAGGAATTCTGGATATGGAAGATAGCTGGAAAGATTTCAGCAGAAATCAGTTTCCCTTCAGCTTCCCTTCTGTCCCCCTGAGAGGAAAGATGGACAGGAGAGAAAACAAGTCGACAGTTTTCCCTGGAGAGTAAGGACGATTGTGGAATATAAGGTGCTTATTATTAATTGAATAACAGATTTAAAGATATACACAAACAAAAACATTGTAAACTAATCGACAATTTTTTTTTGGTGTGTGTGATTGGACAAGTGAGTTTTTTATTAACTGTGTAGATTTGATGTTTCTTGTTTATAATACAAGAAAACTAAGATGAAAAAAAAAAGCCACATTTCCATGGAATAAAACATAATATTTTATACTGTTATTGGGAAATGAAATATAACTTAAGATCAGGACTACATCATTGTGTTTTTCCTTGTCACTGAACATAGATTTTGCTGACAAGATAACACTCTATCGGGGTGTTTGCGATTATTTGTAACTAGTTATATTACATGGTTACTGTCGAGCGTGTAATATTACCGTAATGCCTTGCGGACAACACTGCTGGCCAGCAGTTAGACTGCTTTTCTCCTCTTTTGTTTTGTTTTGTGAAAATGATAATTGACCTGGGAAAAAAAACTTCCAAACTGATCCATCACTTGGTTCAACCTCTCAGGAAAATATCTGTTTTCCTTCGCTTTTTCAAGTGCTGTAAATAAAACCTTCCGTTTGAATATGTTTGTATAGAAGCAATGTCCGTTGATACAGAAATAACTTTATTAGAACATTTTAAAAAACCTTTAGTGGAATAATACTTTTGACATACAAGGAGACAATATACAGAAAAAAAGGGCAGTTATGAACAATATCCGGGGGTTTGAGTAAAAAGATAAATGAAAAAACACCTAAATGTAACAACATGCTATTAGATTACAAAAAAAAACTTTGGAATTTAGAACATTGCAGCAAAAACGTAATAACGTGTGTATAAACTCCTTAGAACCTGCTTAAAATGGGTGAAATGCAGTGGTGGCTAGTAACTAGTTAGATTTGCAATGCTTTGGTATTCTACCCACCTCTGGTTAAATGAACACTCATCTCTGTAGTTTCTCTCACAAAGCTTGACCAATTTGATGTTTTCAAATCTCAACTAGATGATGTTTTTATAGATAAAGCAAGCCCCCCGTGCTTCATTCTCTCAAGAGCTCGGTGGATTGAAGACTGTGAAAAGAACTCTTCATATTTTTTCAGTCCCGAGAAGCAGAGAAGATTGAGAAACTTATTAATGGTAGTGTTACTGAAGACCTGGATTTAATACATGCAACAATTACATTTTTATAGAGCTTCTTTATTGTTCCAAGTATTCAGAATCCAATTGCCCCAAAGTCTTTTTTCGATGAAATCCGTTGAAAAAAATTGATCTTGATTTTTAAAATCTTATGGAAGATGACCTAAGAATCGAAGAGCTTGACGAAGCAATACAACAAATGGCAAAGGGTAAATCTCCAGGCCTAGACGGGTTAACTACGAAGTTTTATGCTTTCTTTTGGAAAGATTTACGAAAACTTTTATTTGAGGCCCTGCTGGAATGCATTTCAAACAATAATCTCTCTCCCACTGTGAAACAAGGTTTGATAGCTCTGATCCCCAAAGCCAACAAATATCCTTTATCACTGGACAATTGGAGACCCATCACTCTTTTATGTACAGATTACAAAATTTTAGCTCTAGTTTATGCCAATCGCTTAAATAGTGGATTAGGAACGATTATTAATAAATGCCAGTCAGCTTTTCTAAAGGGAAGAAATATCCATCATCATACTAGACTGATTTTTGATATGATCGATCGTGACAGTTTTGTTTTTTTTTTTAATTCCTGGATTTCTTTTAACCCTGTAATGCCAAATGTATCATATTTGATACATACGGTTTCTGAAATGTTTTGCATCTGACACCTTTTGCATAATTTAATGGTAAAAACTTTGCTCAAAATCCTATTGTACACAATCAGATATACCTGACAACAGCCAGTAGAAGACTACACAAAAAATAATCTTGACTTAACGCATAGTAATAAATTATTAATATCAAAATTGTATTTCTGTTTTTTCTTTTTACATATTTTGTTAAAAGGGCAAATAAGGAATTCAAAAAAAAAAAAAAAGGAATTTTCTGTTTTGTTTTGTTCTTGGATCAGGCTTTAAAGGGTTAAGGCCTTTGACTCACTGGAACATTGCTGTATAATTAAAACCTTAAAATATTTTGGCTATGGGGAAAAATGTTATATAATTAAGTTATTCTACAGTTATATAAGTAGTTCAGTTTCTTTGGGAATGAGTATGACACCAAGTTTCTCCATGTGAAGAGGAATCAGGCAGGGCTGCCCGATTTCACCTAAATTATTATACTAACAACTCAAATGCTTACATTACTAATTAAGAAAAATTCAAATTTTTAATAGGGAATTCAAAATAAGTCAATTTGCTGATGACAATAATTTTTGTCAGTGATAAAACTATGGTAGACATTGCACTTAAATCCATTTTAAAGTTTTCCAGAGCGTTTTGTGTGGTCTGTCTCTCAATATTAATAAATGCGAACTTCTGCCGATCCATTCCAGCTCTGAGCAACTATTGCCTCTATTGCAGTTAAGTCTGAAATCAAATATCTGGGAATATTGATTTCCAAAAATGCTATTAGAAGAGAGGAGGAAAACATTGGTAGATGCTTGAATGCCATGAAGAGATCCTTGAGTCATTGGTTGACCTTGAGTCATTGGTTGACCAGAGACCTGACTATTTTTGGACAAACTCTTTTATCCAAAGCTGAAGGAGTATCTAAATTAATTTATCCATGCCATTCTGCTAAAATATTAGGAAAGCCAATTCAATAATCTTTCAATTTATATAGAGGAATAAAACTCACCATCTACGTCGTTTACATCTTGTTAAAGATAAAGGGTGGTATTAGAGCCTTAGATTTTGAGGCTCTGATTGGTTCTTTTAGGATAAATTGGCTGAAGACCTTTTTGTCTCATCCCAATTCAATGTGGTTTCATATCCTTAAATCTATATTTAATACACTTGATGGCTTGGATGTCTTGCTTAAATGTGATTTTAAATTAAGCAAGATTAACATTTCACTGTCTCATTTTCATAAAGAAGTTTTACAATTTTTGGAAGATGATATTTAGTCATAACTTCACCCCTCATGGATCCGTAGTGTGGAATAACAGAGCAATATTAATAAAAAAAAAATCTATTTTAAAAACTGAACAGCAGTGTGTCGCAGTGAGCCATTTTGAATCGTGGTCTGCGCTGTTATTCCACACCACAACGCAAGAGGGACAATCACGAACTAGCCATGGGTCTAGGCCAGAGTGGTGAGGAAGAAGAAAAATGCAAGCGGTGAGTTGCAAAAAAAAAAAAAAAAAAAAAAAAAGGGTCCATCTTCACAAGTTGTTTTCCACACTGGCGGTCATAAAAACAAAGCAAGCCGGTAAGGCACCAAACAGGAAATACGCATAGCGTAGAGCAGATGTAGATTTGATCAATCAAAGGCCTCCTTTCTGTAGCACTGACTGCAGTCACCTGCAATTTTGGAGAGGTGCAGCAGAGTGTCTGCAGAAGAGGCGGGGCAAATCTCTGTTACCTGCGACACACACGCAGATGACCTGGTTTCCTAGCATACATCTAGCCTGACGTAGTCCGACTCAATTCTAGGCAGAATATGAGTCTGATACTGCTCCATAGAGCTGTGATTATGGGGCGTGTTTTGAACGAACCAGGAAAACAAATGCCTCTGCACTCAATTGGATAGATCTACAACCAATAAGAGCAACGGAGTGCGTGACGTATGTTAAGCGAGGCATAGTTGTTGTCCACAAAAATCAAAGCGTGCAGTTGCACGCCTATAATAAGAAGATGACTTGATCGCGTTTCTCTGTTCCTCTTTTAAAATTAATTTGCTGTCGATATCTTCTAGAACAGACCTAATAGCAGAATCTACTCACCTAAACTCTCCAGCGGCAGCCATTATTGTTGTCACCCAAGCGCGCATTGGTCACGTGGTTGATTACGTTACTCTTGATCATCTGTCCATCATCGTATAAAGCCCGCCCTGACAATTTGATTGGATCGCCTGACAGTGGGCGATAATACTCGCGCTACTATGGAGCAGAGCCAGACCGAACTTCCCCGACCTCAAACTTTGTGGGCGGGACTAAGTTCGGAATGGCACCCAGGCTAGCATACATCAGCCTTTAGTGGGAAAAGATGGATGGATGCGGAAGGGGGAGAAGGATGCAAACTATCCAAACTAACCATCTAAACATCCCCTTGTAGTGTGCTGCTGCTGATTAAAAATTTTACATTTTAAATCATCATAGATATATAAAAATAAAGCATAGATGTGGTGAAAAACATTCATAGAAGACATTTATTAAACAAACTAGCAGCAGTGATTTACAAGAGCAATATGCATTCAATAGACAGTCATGAAATGAAATAGAACAAAGTGCAGGATAGTGCAGAAGTGTTCATACAACATTAATTACACAAAGCTGCAGCAGTGCTTTGCAGTGATTTACAAGAGCACTGATTTTGCATCTAAAAGATAGCCATGAAATGCAATAAAATAGTGCAGGAGTGCTCTGTTTTGCTTTATGTGCTGTTTACCAGCAGGCCTGATGAGTATTAGATGCACACAGCCACTTGTTGTTGCAGTATCCCAGCATTACCAAAATAGGTTGATGGAAGAACCTCTGGTTTAAAAGAGTGACTGAGTGGTGATGAGCATCACCTGGAATGCCTGTAATCACACTGAATTGAATTTTCTCTGCCAAGTGCCATGAGACAAGTTTTGTTTTGAACTGGAGCTATGGATCTGAAACAATAGATCTGAACAATTTATAAAAATAAAAAGAGCAGAAATGAACACAACAACAAGAACGCTATAAAATGCAACCTAGAAACTATTTACATGTTATTTTAAATGTCTTTTTTTTCCTTTTTTTATTTATTTTTTTGGGGGTCCTTTTTAAATTTATTTTTGTAACTCCTTCTTCCACTCCTCCACGCTCTTACCCCCAAAGTAGCGCAGTAGGAAACACCGGCGACCCTGGTGTGTCCGGTGTCCAGTCGCCTTTGCTGCCCGCACTTGCTGCAGAGGTACCCTTTATTTTTCCTCTGTGGCCCCTCCCCAGCTTCTGCCAATTTCCTCCTCCTGTACAACGTTGATCTTGGCAAACGGGGAGGAGGAGGTGGTGGTGGAGTAGCAGAGGGGGTGGGGGCAAGGTTAGGCAGCGCAGGCCCACTCACAGGCCAAGAGGGAGCCAGAGGAAGTGGAGCAGATGAACCTGGAGGAGGTGGTGGAGCAGGAGGGAGACTCCCGCTGGATGGCCCTGGCTGCTCCTCAGGGAGCTCAGAGTCAAAGGGCTGTCTTTGTCCCACCGGCACCAAGGGCAGCTCCTTCGATGGAAGCAGTGGGCGGTCTTTGGTTGTCGAGTCTGAGTGGGATTCCTGAGGAGGAGGAGAAGGAGCCTGGCTTCCAGGAGAGGAGGGGTGTGGCTCAGACCCGGGTGCACCTGACTGAAAGGCTGCCGTAGAGGAGGAAGAGGGCGACTTTGGTGGGATCCTCCTCATCCACCTGTATCCCCTCATCCTCTCGCTCGATGATGGAGATGGCAGCTGTCTCATCCGGAGGGTCAGGATTCTCACTAATTTCCTCCAACACGCTGCCCGTCTGCTGGAACAGGTACTCCACCCCGATGAGCTCGCCTGTGATGAAAGAGAGAGCCAATAAAAAAAGGAAACAACAAAAACTAAATAAATAACTCTCTCATCAAGTTCTGCTGGTTACCTGTGTACACAGCGGGCTTGGTGAAATCCTCAACCAGCTCGTGTCCAAGCACCCTTTTGGACTTCTGGTTGAGGGCGTGTTTGAGGTGGCCACTGTAGGAGTGCAGAGACGCATTGACCTCAGCCGCCCTCGCCGGTGCTGCAGCAGCTGCTCGATCCTCGTTCCACCTCACCACTCCGTCTACCAGGAACGCCTGAAAGTATCTGGCACTCGCAGACGTCCCTGAGGAAACAGGTGGATCAGAGCAAACTGGATTCACAATTATGAAACAGAAACATAGACGTGTCTATAAAGAGCTGCAGTTACCTGGGATGAAACGGTTCAGGTGGAACGATTCCAGGGAGGTGGAACCCCTGGCGCAGCGATACACGGGGAGGCTGACTCCGCCCTTAGTCAGCGTCCCGGTCTGAGTGTAGAGCTGCAGTCCGGGCGGGTCCTGGATGCAGCTGAGGTGGCGCATCTGCGTGTTCCAGATGTCCTGGATGCGGAGATCGTCCAGCAGCGGGATGTTCAGGGTGTTTCTCCCTGCAGGACCGCGGAAGGTGTCCAGGAGGTTCTGGATGAGGAGGGCTGTTTGCTCTGCCCCACGCGTCCTGCGGCGACAGTGCAGCCTCCACTCCTCCTTGGAGAGCCTCTGGATCACCTCGGCATCACTCAGGTCAAACATCCCGTGCTCCCTCCCCAGCTTGGACCGCTTGGCGTCGGTGAGACGGCGGGCATCTTCAGGGTCCACCTCGAAGATGCAGAGAGACAGCTGCCTCATGAAGGTGGGGTATAGCTCATGGCTCTCTGTCGTGACACCACATGCGATACATCGCATGTAGTGCCAGATGTCCAGACGGACCACGAGGTTCCCCCACTCCTACCCGACAGAAAACATGGTGAGTCAGATGAAGAGGCCGCAGGAATATTAAAAGCTTCAATCATCTCAGCTCTCACATGAAACAAGGCAGCTGTCTTTGACACGCCGTCTCTGCTGCAGCAGTCCCGGTTAACGTACATGACCAGTGGAGGAGGTACCTCTGCGTCTCGGTACCGCCGCATCAGTCCTGCCGCCATGGCGCTCAGGCCCTCGGACCCCTCAGAGCAGGTGAGGACGCTCATGAGGACCTGGCCATGCTCGTTACCTACGCTGGTAACCGAGGCAGCTGTGTTGGCGGCGGCACCAGCGAGCTTCTTCATCACCTGGACAGAGATGCGTTAGTGTGAGCGACAGAGACAGAGAAAGCAAGTGCTGTTTGGACACCTCTATGGTCAGCCGACTGAACATTCTAATACCTTCTTGGTCGAATCCATCTTTAGAATGGACCCCAAGGTGGACGTTATGCGGGCCTTGTACTCCTCCAGCCGCAACGCCACCTCATAACCGTAAACGGTGAGGAGCCAGGCCGGGGACGGTACGGCTGGCATGGGCGGTGGCGGGGCGAACCTCGCTGAGGAGCACAAGGCCTGGAACTGCTCGCAGACGCCGAGGTAGTGGATTGCTCTCCGCATCCAGGCATCAGAGTGCTGCTCCCGCAGGGTGTTGTACAGCAGGGTTGCACTGTTTCCAAGTGTGCGAGACCTCAGCTGTCCAACCACCCTCTGGTCACAGGACAGCCTGCAGGAAAACCATACCACTTTAAGTTACCTTCTTCTCCTTCTATCAATGACACCTTTGTTTTTTCATAATAAACAACTAAGACAGTTACTGTGGTTGTGTCTTACTTGTAAGTGAGCACAGCAGGAAACTGGCAGCTGTAGGTGGGGGGCAGCTGCCTGATGATGCCCTGTGACCATCCCGCGACCTTCTTTTTACATTGACGGCACTCCAGGTACTCGGTGGCCATGAGGTACCAGCCGTCAATGTCCAGGCCAATCTGGATGATCCTGTAGAGCCCAGCCTTCGTCATGGACCCGGTGCACAAAGGCTGGGGGCATGTCAGCTGCAGACGCCAGATCCTGTGGGGCATCCACAGGAACAGCCGACATGCAAAGAAGGGCTCAGGGGATGCAGGAGGCTGGTGGTAGACCGGCTGGGGCTGTGGAGGGAACCACCACAGGTTGAGGTCTGTGGTGAGGCGAGGCCTCCCCAGGTGGTCCCTGACGAACAGCGTCCGGCTGATCCACTCCTGCTGCTCTGCTGTAAGCGCTGCCCTCCAGGACTGAGGCAGCATCTGCAGAAAGAAGACAGCAATTTAACTTGCAAACGGCTTCTACTGGTGCCCAGCTGCTTGAACTATAAACTCTCTGTCAGCAAACCTCAGCAGCAGGGGGTACAGGGTCCCGTCTGGACGGGGTCTCCTGCATGGAGGGTGGCTCTGGAGGATCCAGCCGCTGCAGAGGTTCTCCCTGCTCCTGCGTGGCCTCCAGCAGCTCCTCGTCGGTGGCTTCCCCCGGTCCAGCAGGGGACACCCTCTGAGGTAGAGAGGCGGTGGAAGGACCCGCCTGTTCATCTGATGTTGAACAAAACACACGTTTTAGTAAAAAAACAAGTTTCATCTGCAGCTCCCACAGTAAACACAAAAAGAAGCATCAGCAGGATGCTAGTAATGATTAATGGCTACAAAGGATAAAGACAGGGAGTGTGATTGGGTGACAACAAGAAGAAGAAACGGGTGACATGATGAGGAATCTAGAGGTGAAAAGCAGCGGCCCAGTTAGTGATGAGTGAGCTACAGCTAATTGCCAAAAGCAAATTATTTATTGACTCCAACTTACTGTTTCACTTCAGGTTCATCTGATTTTTTTCATCATTTGTGAAATAAAATGAGAGAAAACTGTCATCATCAGTCATAACTTTTTGATCAACAGAAAGTCTGATAAATTAGATGCTTGTTACTTACATTCCTCCATGTCGCCAGCAGCCTGGACCAGCTCCTCATCACTGGGCTCCACAGGTGTCTGTGTGGAAGGAGCTGGTCTAGACGTTCTGTTGCAGGCTGAAGATGAAATAATAAACATTAAGTAACAGAAGAGAGTAACGCTGCATCTCTTGGGAATTTCATCTCACATTGAAATGCAGGCTTAGGTGAGGAGGAGACCCCCTTCAGCGCAGCCTGCATCTCCACCCCAGAGAGAGAGCGGGGTGAAAACCTGAGATCACAAAGAAAACTTAGATGCAGCTCTGGTGAAATTTAATAATCTCAGAATTTTTAAATAAACATATAAAAAAAAATGTAAAACAGACTGTGTCTGTGACAGCCTCCCTGCTGACACCAGTCCCTCAGTGGATGTGGTGGTGGACGCCTTCTCCCTGTCTCTGCTCAAGTCCACAGCCTTCTCCATGTGTGAACCTTGATCTGCTGATGTCCGACGCAGATAATAAACAAACCTGAGCAGGTGAGACAGAGTCAGCAGATTCTGACATCCCAGCAGAAGAAAAACACACACAGTTTCCACCAATTTCTAATTTCATTGTAAAAAGTACAATGCTGAAGAACTACACCTTTAAGTAATTTTTTATGTTTTTTTCCAAAGGTGACTTAGAAAATCTAAGATTATCTTAAAATAAAATAAAAAATCTAGTTATGATCCACCACAGCATTTAAAGTAGAAAAAGCCCTATACTGGAAGATTGTTGATGAGAACAACCAGTTGTTTTTTTAAACCATGTCTGTGGTTATTGGCCAATGCTCTGACCAATGAGTGCAACTGACTGTGACGTTGGAAGTGCGACAGAACGCTGGTGGGGGAGTGTAAACCTGTCGGTAAAACGGCAAATACGTCCTTCTTAAAAATGAGTGAACGTAGAGCCTCTTACTGCTCACATTTCAATGAAAACCCCAAGTCTAATCATTCTAAACTGACTCCAAAACTGAGTCAGACGAGAACTGTTCAATAGTTGTTGCCATCTTCCTTGTTGTGCTTTCTCCAGCGTCGCGCAGCTTTGTCGTCACGCCCTCAAAGCCCCGCCCTCTTTGCATCCAGACTTTCAAAACACATCTCTGCACTGTGATTAGCCCGCCGGTTTTGGTGCATGGCGCGTGTTTTGAAGCCGCTTGTGGAGAAATGTCCTGGGCCATGAGTAGTGAGGAAACAGGAAGCGATTCTTGTGGGATGGAAGAGGGAAATAGTGACAATGAAGAAGGTTGGAAGATAGCAACATCAAAAAACGAGAAAAAGCGGAAAAATCAGATCAGTTAAAGGGGAATCCAGTTCAGAACAATCCAGTGATGATCAATCCATACATTCCACAGCACAACAAAATGAATTCAAAGTCATATTCAAAGTCGTTAATCAGGCAGACTCTTTTACAAATTGGAATCCGGTTCACTTAACAAAAACCATCAATAAACTTGTTGAAGTCAGAGGTGCCAGAATTCTGTACAGTGGAGACCTGCTAATTAACTGCAGAGACAGCGCCCAGCAAGGCAAAGCCATACGAATCAACAAAATTGACGGGATAAGAGTTCAGTGCAGCTTATTGGAGAACAAAAAGATCAGCAGGGGAGTCATTGGAGGAGTTCCTCTAAAAGTTGCTGCAAAAGAGATTCTGAAAAACATAAGCGGTGCAAAAGTAAAAGAAGTAAAACGGTTAAAAACAACAAGAAATGGAGAAAGAGCTGACAGTTTATCGGTGCTAATTAAATTCGAAGAAAAGCAATTACCTAGCAAAGTATTCATTGGTTACATCAGCTATAAAGGTCAAAATCTACAATCCTCCACCATTGAGATGCTTTAAATGCCAAAAATTCGGACACATTGCAGCAGTTTGTAAAGGGAAACAGAGGTGTGGAAGGTGTGCAGGAGAACACGAATATGGTAAATGTGGAAAAGAAGCTAAAATAAAATGCTGTAAATGTGGTGGAGAACATACTGCTGCTTATTGCGGCTGTGAAGCAAGCAAAAGGTCTGAGGAAATAAAAAAAATGAAATTTGAGCTTGGAATAACCTATGCTGAAGCTGCAAAAAAGGATTTCAACTCAGTCAGAAAAACCCAAACCTACAGTTCAACACACGGCAAATTCCAAACCTCTAGCGAAATGTCCAAAAATTGATGAAGACTCACTAATTGTTAAAAAGAGAAATTTTGTTCTATTTATGGTGGAAGTGATTAATTGTAGTGCACAGACAACAAAAAAAAAAAAAAAAAAAAAAAAAAAAAAAATCAAAATAATAGTGAAGGCTACAGAAAAATATCTGGACGTGAAAGATTTGAACTGGGAGATGGTTGGAAGCATGATGGGAGGACCGATGGGACCATCAGAAACTGGCAGAGTTACGATGACTTAAAGTAAATTAAAATTATAAGTGCAAATGTGATTTAGTATTATGTGGGATTAAGTTACACAGGTTTTTTGGTTTTTTTTTTTCCTGGGGTGAATCGTTTCCTGTTTCCTTGCTTTACTCCATATCAGTTGGTGGCGGTAATGCACAAATTTCACAAGTTTGCCAACCGCCATAAAACCTCATAAGAAGATTAGCCCGCCAGTTCTAGGGCCTGGGACATTGATCTAGGCTAGACCACTGGCAGGCAGATAATAAGAAATAAAAATAATTTTGGCCGCTGGCGGGTTTATGCAGCAAAATTGCCTTCTTAAAATATTACTTACAATGTTTTGCGAACTACAACCCCGTCATTTCTTTCATACATGCGCTATGAACAGGTCATGTGACCGATTTGACCTTAAATATATGCCGGGAGGAAGAGAGACAACTTGAGCTAACAAGCTAGTGAACAAACTTACTGTAAAATACAGATGAGGGCCAAATCAAAAGTAATATATCAAAGCTATTGAAACATTAATGAGTCTGATAAACAATTATGCTGGGTTTTTTTCGGACTTACCGAAGTTAAAAGTAATTTTCGCTGCTGCTAACAAGGGCTGCCGCTATTGCTCCAATGAAAGGACAAAGGAACTGACAGTAAAAGCCGAGCACAGCCGAAAGGGCCTTCTTGGGTCGAGATGAGCGAAGCCATCTGATTGGTGCTAAAAGACTGATTTCGGGATCGATGTAAGAGGAGCTCTCTGATTTGACGCGCCATCAGGCAATCCGCCACTCTAATTGGTTCACATACTGAGATATCAATGCACGCTGTCCTTTGCGCCCCCTGGTGGTGGTTTGGTTTTAGAGCTCCATTTAACAAAACCAAACCATCTCACAATAACACTTTCAAATGTGCTGCGGAATAAATTTTTTACCTGTGTATCCCTTTTAAAATAGTAATTTCTAAAAATAAAGGAGAAATAAGATGAAATGCATTAGAAGACATGTATTAAACAAACTGGTAGTGAGCTTTCCAGCTGGAGATTTTATTTTATTTTTTTTTTTTTTTTATACGCTTTTGGTATTCTAGCGTCAAGGTGGAGAATACTTAATTGCAAGATAAACCTGCTCCCTCAATGTGGACTCCGCAGTGATGGCAGCTTGCATCCTCCACAACTTCCTCCTGAGTAGAAGGTGCTGCTCTCTATTTGGACCTTTCTAAAAATGTGCAGCAAATGGACTGATCCAATGTGTTACATGGATCAGGATATTGGGGAGGGTTGAGACACACTTAATATTATAAGTGTTCCGACTGCATTTTAGCGAAGTATTTTTATGAAAAACATAATTAATGTGCACAAATAAGGAATAGTTGTATTAACAATACAGTTAAACAGAGTTTAATGGGGCCCCCAGGAACTTGGGGCCCTATAGGGAACTGCCTTGTATTGCCTAATGGTTGCACCCTGGTGCAACAGCATGACAGAATGTTTGGAACCTGCATTCTGCTGTGAATTCCAGTATGAAATATTCACCTGTAAACATTAGGTCTGCTGTATTTTTGCTCCTTGCAACTATAGTTACCTCTATTTCTGTACTCAAAGCTAGTCTGCCTCCAACATAATTATACAATGAAAACATGATGACAAAGAATTCATATTTTTTTTTAAATATGGTCTGTGTAAACAAATAAGGGGCCTTGTAATACTCAGTGGTTTAGTTAATTTATATGTATTTCAGGATTACACTAGGATGGTTGATTAAGCCTCCATGATGGGGGAGATCAGAACCGAGTAGCAGCCCTGCCATTTATCAGTCACATTTGCAGCAGACCTCCAGGCATGTTTTCAGGTTTCTTCCAATTTTGTAACTCCCACAATCCACAAGAGCAGATCACAGTATGATACCACTTATAACATAAAAACAATCTACAATAATAATCTAGTATTTTAATCCTTAAGAGTAAATTAATTAGATATTTTGCAGTTTGGATGAGAGACAGCAGTTTTTTTTATTTTCTTCTTATTTTATATGTCAATAATCTTATTTGCAGAAAGTCTCACTTACCGGCTCAATTTCCGACTATGCGCTGTAAAAAAAAAAACCCAACTAGAAATAAGTAAAAATGTCTTGAATTAAGCGTCTTTACCTTTAATTTAAGAACGTAAATAAGATAATTTGCCAACGGAATGAATTACTCTTAGAGTAAAATTATTCAACAATACACTCTTGAAATAAGATAATGAAAATTCATTGTTTTTTTTCCCTCATTTTAATGTAAATTGTCTTGTTCCATTGGCGAAGTGTCTCACTCACCTCCACAATTCAAGAAAAAAATGCACTTATTTTAAGAAAAAAAAAAGACTTATTTAGATGTGAATTTTATGCAGTTTGCAATTATTTTAAGATTGACTTAAATTTATATATATATATTTTGCAGTAGCTAGATGTAATTGTGTATGATTGGCATGTAGTACCAAGCAGCACAGCTTGCTTAGCCTATTTTTTACTACATAGGAGCCAAATATTTAACACAATTAAAAGTCACCATCAGCCTGCAGCATACAGGCAATATGTGCCCACACCTTTTCTTTTCTTTGTATATCCTTGTAATGAGGATGCCTAGGATCATACAGGATTGATTGATGCTATACTTCCAAAATTAATGTCTCCTCATCCATGATGCAGTGAGTGTTGTGAGATGTGGAGGTTTGGTGCAGCTTTGACAAGGTTTTGGTCTCTTTCACAAGGTAACTCTTTTTTTGTATCTATATGATATTGTATGTCTGCATCCTTAAATGTTGGGAAACCAGTCGTTTGCGTTTAATGATTGAATAACCCGCTCTTCTTTTCTGGCAATATAAAATCTGTCCCTATTTAATATTCTCTGTGTCTTGATTCGATGTGTGTTTTGAATTGTGGCTATATAAAGAAACAGAATTCAACTGAATAAAGAAACATCAGTTTTGTTCTGATAATTCCCATCTATATCATTACCAATATAATTGATCTAGTCTAGATGCTTTTTTGTCTAGATATAAATTCTTTTTACTTTCCATATATTTTAAATGTTTATCATTGAAGTCATTTTAAAGTCTGTAAGTAATCTGAATAATTCTGTGATGTATTATTTGTATTTTTCTCCAGTTGTTATTTGTGTTTATAACAAAGGTGTAGATAATGGAATAACAAAGGAGAAATACATAGTTTTTTTTTCTTTTATCATATGTAAAACTATCTTTATAAAAACACACTTTCACGTAAAAATGTTGCATTTATTTATTTTTTTTTTACAACAAAATATCTTTAATTGGTTGGAAATCATAACTTTTTATTTAAGATTTTTTTTATTTTTTAATAGGTCTAAAGCTTGATGGACACCGGATTTCAGACCGGACTTCCCCAGGACTTCCTGAAGCACAGATGACCCCATCAGAACAATGTGTTAGAAAACAACAGAATATTATCAATTAAAATCATCATTGCAGTAATCATATGTGTTTACTGTTTGTGTTTTAAGATATAGTAGATAAATATAGTAGAATTTCTCTAAAAAGAACTAAAAAAAAAAAACAACGATGATGAATATGTACTTAATAGAAAACTAAGTTTGCCCCATATAAAAATTAGATTAATTACTAGTCCTCTGTTTTAATTAATATTCTTTCCATTAAAACCAAAATAATATGACCATCAATTATATAAATCACACATTTGTTAAAGTTCCAACATAGATGACTGATTATTTCTTGATTATCTTCACTAAATGTACAGATGGGGTCTGTTGATTTAATAATTACCATCTTTCACTGATTAAAGGCATCAACTCTGTCAACAGTTTAAGGAAACATCTCTCATTTGGTTGTTTATTTGGAGATTCTGATTAAATGTCCACGCATTTCTCCAGTGAATTGGGGAAGTTATTTTCCTGTAGAAACCAGCTGACGAAACAGAAATCTTGTTGAAGGGAGTGCAGAAATCAGTCTGTTCTTATAGGTTGAGGTAAAAACAAGCTACAGTTAAATCGTCAGTTAAATAATACCATTGGTTGAGCTCATTATTAAACATAATTTTTTTAAATACCCAAACTTTTTTAACTTTATATTTTGAACCATTCAGGATAAAATAATGACCTATTTGTTTAAAGTGTGAGGGCCACAGGTCATTTCAGATTAAGGCGGAGAACAATGATGTTTGTGAATCGGTGCCCTTGGAAGAAGTGCTTTAATCAAAGAAGAGAAGGGAAAGTGAGCCCCCTAAAGTTGAAAAGATATATTCTTGGAGATTAATGAAACAGGATGGCTAGTTTTTCATGAAGGACAGAAGTTCCTTGTCCTCTGACTTTTCCTCACAGGCCTGCAGGGGGCAGCATTTCCCACCAGCAGCCTTCAGCCTTCCCCGGAAACCATTAGAAGGGGAAGATTCATTCACGTTATGTTTTTGTAGAGGCGCCCAGTGTTTATGAAGTCGATGATGTCGTAGTTTTTCCTCTGAATGGATCCTAAAACAACTGCCTTGGTGAATGCCGCTCCTCCATACGGTCACGTGGTCTGCAGTGAGAAATGGAGGACTTCCTCTCTTCTTCAGGGCTTAAAGGGTGAGTCTTCGGCTCTGAGTTTTCGGCTCTGTTCGAATTAATAGGCTGCGTCTTCCAGGGACCCGGTCTACCTGGACTGGATCCTTTGAAGCCCTTGAAAATGAAGAGACCGGAAGTGTTTTGGCTGTGAATCCAAACAGGTCTACCCTTCGCGCGGCTTTCTCCGCCGTACGCTATGTTGCTTAGCAACCGCGACAGTGACACAGAAAGCAGGAGAAGAACGAATACTGAACTTTTCAAAACTGTTTCTTTTTATTATTTGTTTCTCCTTTTTTATCGTAAATGGAACAAAGACTTCACTCATGAGAATCCAGAATGGAATAAAGGTGCCAACCACCAGGAGAATAAATCATTTTGCACATCTCTGATGTTGCTGCTATTTTCAAACTTCCATTACTGTAAAAATATCCATAGCTGTAGATTGATTATTTATTCTCCAGGTGCACAGTTTTATATTATATTGTTAACACTTAACAGTACAGTATATTATTGTTTATATTTTACTCTTCCCTATTATGTTATTCTTATAAATTTTTCTAAGGTCCACATTTGTATGACCATTTTCAATTATCTTTTGTTGCTGTAAATTTGCCCATTTTGGGACAAAAAAAGAGACATTTTGTTCTATTCTATTCGATGCTATTCTATAAAATGGGTAGAAAGATATAAGTAAATCTAAACAATAATATATATATATTTGCAAAATTAAGCAAATTGTGCAAAATAGTAATTAAAAAATAAAAATCCTATCAGATTTACACACTGCAGGTATATTAGAATCTGTCCTTAAATTACAGCTAAAGCTATTCACAGAGTAACAGATAAAAACCTTTAGATAAATCAAACATTACCGCCACATATCTGACTCAATAACCATTAAAACAACTATTTTCATTCATTTTAGAAGGAATTATTCACATACATGTATTATATCAAACTGAACGTCCAACATTCACCACGCCAAGTACCATTTCCTCCGATCAAGGAGCAGCCGGCCTGCTTGGTCTCGCAATGAATTCAGGGATATCCAAGGATGGAGAGGATACATCGGACCCATCCTTCAAATCGGGCCAAAAGAAGGACCCATTTGTAGGTCGCATAACGAGGAATCTTGAAATCCAACCAGACCTCGGCGCAGCGCTATGACGTAATCGTCCTTTGAATCTGGCCTTCGGAGGACACAGCCCATGGATTCGAACAGAGCCTTCTTTTGTCGATGCCATAAAGCAGCGTGGTTGAGGTCAGGAACATCGGACTTCTGGATCAGCCTGCGCGTTGACTTCATTCTCCGTTTAAAAAAAAAGACAGCTGGACAGAGGTCAGCCATTTAGGCCATAATTTATAGAATGAGTATCATCATATCAGCACTCTAATGTAATGAATCCATACACTGACTGCACCTTTTTAATGGATGAAGTTTAAGGTAAATAATGCTTCAGTTCCAGGAAGCTAAACTCTCTCTACTCCTTCTGCAGAAGCTGGTTTGAAAATCCTGTTTGAAAATGAACTGGCTGTGGCCGATTTCCTCCTTCCCAACAAAGTGTGCCTCCTGTACGTGTCTGAGGGGGACATGGTGGCAGGAAACGGGTGCAGGAGGAAGCTGGTCCGCTACAGAAACGTAAGGGAAGTCCTTCAGCTGCATGTTCTGCAGGGAACCTGTTCACCGGCCTGTGCTCAGCTCTCCGTCTGTTTTCCAGGCCAGCAGCAGCTTCCAGCAGCTAGTGTTGGCGGAGAGGACCAGGCTCAGTGAGCAGTACTTCTCCGCCCTGCAGAAGTTTGTGGTGTTGGACCTGGGTTTGTCTCTGCTGCCTGTCGGTGGGCAGACAGAGGTAAGTATCCAGTGTTGATCAGGATCTTGAACCTTAGAGAAGACCTGAAACAGTGTGGGAGATGTTATTTACATCCACTATATCATCTAGGAACAATGCAAAATATGTATAAAATGTAGGCTGTGATGGAAAAAAAGAAGAAATACAATAAAAAGTGAAATATTTGTATCAAGCAGACCAGAAATACTGAGGTATTTAGTTGAACATTTATTGAAAGATCAGGGGGGCACTAGGAAGTGCTGCATCAGGAAGGTGGAATCAGGTGTGCAGCTATTGGTGGTTTCCCTTTGGCACAGTGAGAATTGAAGCTCAGCCATAGTGGCAAATGTTTGATCCATCATTTGTGTGAATCTGATTATTCAGATTTTGCCCTTATAGTAAATTGAAATTTAATTACTTTGAAGTCGGAAAAAGAATAGCATTTTACCCTTTTGTAATAATAACTTAAATAATGTGTTTTAAAAACAATGACAAAAAAAACAATGATAAATTGGTGTCAGAGTAAAAAAAATAAAGTTTCCTTAAATAAAAAAAGCTCTCTCCATTTGTTTTAGGTTCATGGGGAGGGCAGGGAGAACCCATTCAGACGGAGGACTTCATGCCGGCTGCTGGATTCAATCACTCTGGCTTTGGTCCAGCAGATCCCCGGGGTCGGCAAGGTCAGAGCTGTGACTCTGATGCAGAACTTTCCCAGCATCCAAGAGATCTCCAATGCATCCCCGGCTGAGTTAGAACCCTTGGTGGGCCAGGCCAGCGCCCAGCAGATCCACAGCTTCTTCCATGCTCACCTGACTCCTGGAAATTAAGGACCAACATGTCATTTTCAGTGTTTCTTTGGGCTGCACCTAAACTGTGGAGCTTCCGTGCAGCTTCATATGAAGACTTTGAGAAGTGTTGTAGTTCTGGATTCAGATTTTAACTCCAGTCTTGGAAAGAGTGTGAACGGGCTTCATTGAAAACGACAGCTTGCCTTATGTGACTGCCTGACAGCGCATTTCTACGCCGAGACGTATCGTCACTCAGCCGACATTTGACTTTCTTTTTAAACACTGAACAATGAAGTTTAGTCTGTGGAGAAGGGTGGAATTTTGATTTATATTATTTTTATAAAATACTTTCATATCAGTTCACCATGTTTCCTAGTAGTTCTTCTTGGTTTCCATTGCTTCACTGCAAAGAAAGGAAATCTAATTTAAAAAAAATAAAATATGGGATTTTTTTCCTTGTATTGTGAAGGAAAGTGAGACGCTTTGCCAATGGAACAAGACAATTTACATTTAGAATAAGAAAAAAAAACAATTGCGTTGTTTCATTTCAAGTGCATATTATCCAATTATCTTATTGTAAAAGTGAAAATGCTCAGTCAATTGGACAGTCATCTACCTACTCAGATTAAGGGTGAATTCTTTTTAGACATTTTAACTCCTTTTCAGAACGTTTTTTCAGTGTAGTTTTATTGATAAACAACATTTGTCGTTACATATTATCAGAAAGAAAAAAAATACAATCTATGAATATAATTTTATACTTCCAAGCTTATAAGGATTGTTAAACTAAGTGTTTTTAATGTTCAACAGTAGCATAATGTTGGATTGTTGCACCCCAAATTGTCCAATTGTTCATCCATATATTTTGTCAGGAGAGGGATAGTAGAGATGCAAGAGATACAGAAGAAAAGATGGGAGGAAAGGAGTCAGAGAGGCACAGTAGGAAGAGTAAACTTAAAATCACACTGCAGGGCGTGCAGGTGGCGCAGTGGTTAGCGCACACTACCCACGTACGGAGGCCTTAGTCCCTGACGTGGGCAACCTGGGGTTTTAAACCAACCTGTGGTCTCTCCCCCTCTCTCATACTTCCTTTCCTGTCAGCCACTGGTGCCACTAGTGCCGTAAAAACTCAAAACCAAAAGTACACTGCAAAAGCAATCTAGAATGAAGTTAAAAAAAATCTTAAATTAACCGTATTTATTTAGGAAAATCAGATGATCTGCCAATGGAATGAGAATTTTGACTCTTCAAATAAGATAATGAGAAAAAATATATTTTAAATAAGAGACTGCATCTGTTTTTTATTCTTAATTTACATGCACATTGTCTGAATCAATATGCAAAGTGCCTCAGTCATCTGCTCAATTCAAGAAAAGTGCACTTTAAAAAAAATGAATTACTTAGATTTACATTTTTTGCATTGTAATATACTTTACAAGAATTTTGAGAGCTTCGTGATGATGTAATGATGAAGATCATCTTGAAGTGGAGATGCTGCTTTATGGAGCGATTGAAGGTTTTATAGGAGGGGTGTTACACATTTCTTTAAATGTAACTTTAGTTTACAGAAGTTTCTTATTTCCTGTTGGGTTTTTTTTAGACATCCTGGCCGTGCACCTAATTGACAATAACAGACACCTAAATACTCACATCAGTTCAAAGATTAGGGTAAATCAGTGCATCTAATATTACAAACTTTCTAGATTATGTTACTTACAGAAGCAGATTCCATCTTAAAAAACAAACATGTCATTAAAAGAAGGAGAAGAAAGTTACTTAATGTCGCATGCTGTTCCTGAAAGCTGTCCTTTGACCAGAGGGTGGCTGGACAGCTCTGGTTGCTCGCTTGGCAAGTTCCGCCTGGCTGGGGATGCGGGGATCGATCCACTATCTTGGCATGTGCGAGAAGCCAAGGTTGCTGGTGTTTTGGGGGAAGAAAAGTGGAGGAAGGACTTAAAAGAATAAACGTAGAAGTGAAAATGTTAAAAAAACAAAATAAACATGTACATAGTTTGTAGGTTTCATTTGTTAGTGTTCTTGTGTTCATTTCTACTGTTGTTATTTTAAAAGTGTTCAGATCTGTTGTTTATCTACATTTATTTTGGTAATGCTGTGATACTGCAGCTAGAGATTTTGGGAAAAACACATTCTGACTGGATTTGTTGCCTCGTGACAAATGGCTGTGGAAATCTGACATCAGAACTAGTGAGGCAGGCCTGGCTGGGATGCTATCAGGTCCAAAAACTACAGCCTGCAAGGAACCATTAAAACACAATCACAGCATATAAAACAGATATGAGGGATGTGGGGCTGAGTTAATGAGTAGACCACTGACCCAGCTGATGTTCTGGACTAGAGGCTAGTGTTGGTTGCAGAGGAGGATGCAGGCCTTGGCTGGAGGGGGAGGGCTGGGGTGAGGATGGTGCAGAGAAGGAGGACTTGAAGGTCTAGAGCAGGCATCCCCAAACTCGGTCCTCGAGGGCCGCTGTCCTGCAGGTTTTAGAGGTTTCGCTGCTTTAGCACAGCTGATTATAATGATTGCAGTAGAGCAAAAGCCTGTTAATCAACTATCAATTAAAATCAGCTGTGCTGGAGCAGAGAAACATCTAAAACCTGCAGGACAGCGGCCCTCTAGGACCGAGTTTGGGGATGCCTGGTCTAGAGGAAGGTATTGTGGACTGGGACAGTCTCTGAGGAGTCATCAGGTTTTTCCTCCACCAAAACATCCATATTTTCTAAATAAAGACAAACTATACTTTCCTACAGCCTATCAAATGGACACATATATTTAAACATCCATAATTTCTAGATAAAGGTATTGGGTTTGAAACTCTTTCAGTTTTGAGTTCTGGGGCGTAAATCTTTTGCATTGTCGACACTTACCTACTTGTATCAATAAACATTCTGCATAAAATTGATATTTACAAGCACTAATATCTACATAAATTGATTCTTTGATAAGTTTTTATTAAACTTGTTATTTATCTATGATTACGCTGAAGTCTCCTAGATGACTTGCAGAGACACATCATTTTCTTTTTACCTCATATAACACAAAATCTAGTTCTGAAAAGAGCATGAATTCTGTACTTATCATCTTTGATGTTAGTATATTGATGTGCATAATTAACCACAAAAAAAAGCTTTGAATATTCCACTTGAGAGTATTACTGCTGCCACCATATGTAATAGAGGGGGGGGGGAAATGGTATGGGTGGCCACAGGGGTGGCCAATGATTGCCTAAGGGTGGGAATGGCCACCCCTGGCCCCCCATCTAGCTCTGCCCCTGTCCTCCACTAAGTCCTCATCTCTAACCGCCTCATCATCCATGCGTTCCACCAGCAGATCCTCTTCCTCTGGGTCATCCATGACAGGTCCCCTATGTACAAAGTTGCCATCCCAACTATCCATCTGGCTCCACCACTGGTTTGTTTACTTTTGCAGGATTTTCATCAGGCAACCACACAGCCACCTAATCTCTCCAAACAGCTGTGTTGTGAATCCTATTTGTCACAAATTAATCTAGTTGATTGCTTCCTGATTTCTTATCTGCCTTTTTCTAAATGAAAAAATGTCAAACAGCCATGGCGTGTGATAACCACACCATAGTGATAGCTGCTAAATCTGGTGTTTAAATTCTACAATGAATACATAAAAAGTAATGTTTCCACATCACCAGGTACTTGATACAGATTTTATTAGCTGAAATGCCCCTAAATAAATACATATTACTCCCTTTGTACACAGGGGGCAGTAAAACAAGTACAGACTGAACACAATAGCAAAACAAATAAAGGTGTTTCTTTCCTTAAACCACTGTTTGTGTGACCTGATACAGTTCATCATACAGGACAGAGTTTCAGGGTCTCTGAGAAAAAACACAAAAACAACCACCTTTGTAGAGGCTGGTGTCTGTGTCTAAATAAGAAAATAAAATAAAAGTGAAAGCATGGAATCTAATAACAAGAAAAAAACTTTATTTCACTATCTGAAAAATAAATGGGAATAGTTGGAAGGAAGGATGAGAAGCCCAATTGTTTTTTTTGCAGTGATCCAGTTTTTCTTGAAAGGTGCTGAAACATGTTTTGTGTTAATAGGCCTGCAGGGATTTCTATTTACATTCAGGGATTTTCATAGTGGCGGACTTGCTCCTCCAAGCTGCAGGTTTGATTTATAGCTTATGGTGAAGCAGGAGAAATGACACTCCATTGTGAGGCAGAGTTTCAACCAGTAATCTCGCCACCAGTTAATCTGTCACACTGGCGTTAGGCTGGAGATCTGCCCCCCCTGAACAACAACTACATATTTTAGTGGGATCATAATCCTGATGAACTGACCATGGACATAATATAAGAAGTGACCTCGCATTGATTGCTTTCACCTATAGTCGGGCATACACTGTAGGATTTTTTTCAATCGTTGCACGCAGCTACTGCTCACACTGTATGACGACACAGCAGGGTTGCCTTGGCAATTTGTGCAATTTTATGTGCCCAAAGCCCTAAAAAGAAAAGGCGACAACATATTTGGACAAAGACGTGCCTAAGCAATCGTGGCAACTACAGTCTGTCAATTTTACAGAAAGAAATCCATTTCACTCAAACTCCCGCAATACTTCTGTGTTTTTATCTGAGAGGAAGAACAAGAAGAAGAAGAATCCTTGAGACAGCAAACTGAATTTCAAACATGTTTGATTTTATCCCGACCTTACTATTCCTGATCGGGAGGTGGTCGTGAGAGGCTGATCTCCCCTCGTTACTCCCTGTACACTACAGGACACACGACCCACGATCAGGTTGAAAGTTGGCCAGATCGTAAATTCTCACACGACCATAGAATTGGCCTGTAAAGGGCAAACATTGCACAGTGTATGCCCGGCTTATGGACGCTGACGTGATTTGGTGCAGTGTTGACAGATTGGGCGGTTTTCATTTTGGGTGGATGGAGATCATTTGGGCTGGTTAGGAGTCAGATCAGCTGTTTTTGAGTTAACCTATGAAAACACATGTCCACTAATCATTCATCATTACTGAGTCATAGCAAACCCTCCCTGACCTTTCTCTATCACTTATTGGCTAATATCATCTGCCAGGGTGTTTCCAACAGAGAACTAGTGTAATGGGGCCATAGATTACGCTAGTTTTAGCAGCAGGTGGATCTGTTGTGATAAACCTCACACTGACGATCGATTCGATGCTTCCTGGTTAAAAGAGGAATCTTTCAAAGATGTTGAAGGAAACCACTGCTTTGAGTTTTAGCGCTTGGTGCAATTAAACTCCTCACCCTCCCTTTATCAAATGCACCAGTTGAAAGAGCTTTTTCACAAGCTGCTCTGCTTATAGGCGACTCCAGAAATTACATGGGCCTGCCTACCCTGTCAAGTTTGATGGATGTGCGAACTGGATTAACACAGAATGTACTGATCACCAAACATTATGGATTGTATTATAGTTTATCAGAGTAAAAGTTCAGCGTTCAGATGTTCAATGTTCCGGCCAATAAGCATTAAAGGTAATAATTCAAAGTCAACTATAATAAATGTAAATATTTTAGCTATGTCAAAATAAGCTTAGCATATCTGCTTGTGTGCACTGATATTAGTTTGTCTTCTAAATGTAAAAAGAGGAGTATTCTACATGGTTATAAATCTATCTGCAAACATGTATGTATGGGATGTGTCACATGACCCTCACTGGATCTGACACGGCTGTGGTGGCGGGGTCAGCGTTGTTTATGGAGAACAACTCTGGACAGATTTTGTTGGATTGTTTGATTAAGTTGTGCTGAAGTGTGTTCATGTTCACACAGTAAATATACAAATATATTACCTGGGTGGGTTGCTGTGTGATGTGGTGGTTTTCAGCATGTTTGACCATCCAATCAAAGACCAGATTCATAGGCGCATCAGAAGTTTGTGAAGCAAGCTTCCCAGAAGTGACTGCGGTGATCACACAAGAAGATATATATATATTTATAGATATAGATAGATAGATAGATAGATAGATAGATAGATAGATAGATAGGCCTGCCATACTCTGGTTGTTTGTCTTGCCCTTTTGATACGAACGAACACTTCCGATATCTTAAATAACATTTTCCTTTCTAAATTAAACATTTCAGACAGATATTTTAAATATAATTCTTACTAGTACAAATGACGTCACGTTTCTCATTCATGTTTATTGGGCTCTTACTTCCAGACATCTAAAATAAACATTCTTCCTATCTAAAAATTTATTCTGATGAGGATGAATTCTAATTTCAGATCTCAATAATAGAGTTACTGCTAGTCATAATGACAATTTTAGATATCAAGAAAGAATATAACAATCTAGATATCCAGAAATCCAAATATAATTAAAGATATAAACTATTAATATATCACTGTTTAAATAGGAATTTCAGATATCTAAATTCTAATAATTTTATAATGCCTATCCAAAATACAGTTTTAGATACTTAAAAACATATTTTGACCAACATTAAAACAATTAATGGGTCTTTGTTTTAACGTAAAAAAGGCAGATTGACTAGTCACATTTCTATTATAGATAGCACTAAAGCTAGTAGAAATATAGTTTTGATGTCAAGAATTGGACTTCTGGATATCTGTAATGTTATATGAATTAGAGTTCATCCTCTTCAGAATTCATTTTTTTTGATAGGAAGAATGAATAAACATTTCAGATATCTGAAATGTTCACTTTAATTAAGAAGAAATGCATTTGAGACATCTGAAATATATATTCAGTCATACTAATAAATGTCAAAACGGCCTGCCATAGCCAAAGAGCAGCCAGGCGTCTCTGCGTCAGAGCAACTTGACCAGCATGACGTGGACAGCCTCTAACCTAGCGCCCAAGGAAGAGGATGCATGGACTGGCAGCGAGCAAGCAACTGGAAAATTTAAACAATTACGGTAATTTCAAAACCAACACAAGTTTAAAGGTGATAATAGCTCTTTATGTTTATTTTTTATCAATATGCCACAGCGTTAGATATGCAAAGAGCTTAACGACGCCACGCTACCAGACGGAGTGGCGTCGCTGCTCTCCGCCATGTCGAAAGGTCAAAGCCTAGCTCATCTCGGAAACTCAGGGTAGACTTTTCTCAGCTTTCCAGTGGAAATTAGACGACTGGGTGTTGATGAGCAATTTTTACGTCGGCTTTTGATAGACCACTTAAAGGCACCTTAACGCCGCTTTGAAAGAACGACATTTCTCGGAGTTTGGTTTGCGCTTGAAGATTAAACAGCAGCGCCACCTAGTGGCTGTCTCTTTACAGTGCAGTAAACAATCCCTGCTGCTGCCTGCGAAGGACGTGTCATGATGACACGCAAATTCGTGAAGCGTTCCTCATTTTTAATCTTTTAAAAATAATGAAAACAATAAAGAATGTTTTCAAGCCCTTTTTCCACTTCTTGCTCCCAGTTCAGGGGCTGTGTTCTAAACTTGGGGATGCGTCCTTCGCTATGGAGGACTGACTCTGCCATGTATAAAAAATAAATACAGAAGTAAATAAATGTTCAATAAATAAGCATACAATTATTTGCCACCAAAAATACAATAAACAAATAAATGTAAGTAGAAATTAAATTATAGAGTGAGACATAAATGTATATAACCCTTTTAATTAGCTTCTTTATTTGTTTGCCTTTGTAATATTGACCTTATTTATTTTTTTGTCCTTTATAATCTTCAACTTTATTTTGTAATTACTTATATTTTTAAGTGTTTATTTATGTGCATGTTATGGTATTTTTGGCTGTTTTATTCTTCCTTTGTATTTCTTCCAGATATTTATTTAACCTGTTAAAAAAAATACATGATAAAACGGCCACTTAAAATGGGTAAGATTTGTAGATATCTGAAATGTAGTTCTTATTAGTATAAATTTAATTCCAGATTATTTAAAATGTATTTTCTACTCGTAGAAATGTAATTAGTGACATCTAAAATACAATTCTGACTAGGAACATTGTAATTTTGACTATGCAGAATGCTTTAGTACCGTCTTTTATAGAAATGTGACTAGTTAGCCTGCCTTTTTTATGTTAAAACAGAGACCCATTATTTTTTTAAGATATCTAAAATGTTTCAGATACAGCAGTAATTCACATTTCATGAGCTCTAAAGTAATGCAAAAAAATCATTTGCATGGTCAACAATTTACCAAACATTCAGGTTTGCTTCAGTATATGTAATTTAATTCTAGATAGCAAAATAAATATTGTCAATATTTTGACAGCTCCGATTCCCTTTTCAGATATTTCATCATTTAATGTCCGTCTATTCCTGTCTCGCAGGAATATTTTTTTGATTAAATTAACTGCAGTTTCATTCAATTCATTGGAACGTTTAGAATTTATGTTACAAAAACAATAAGTGTTTATTATAAATAGGATCATTAAAACTGCACCCACATTCAAGGCAGAGGTAGGAAAAAATATATTTACTGCAAGTGTGATCTTCTCCAGCCTCACAGCCTTGGTCTGCAGATATTTATATAACCTGTTAAAAAAAAAGACACAATTTCAATTTATTATGCATGTTATTTGTTTTAGTATAGGTCTAAAAAGTCAGAGCCACAGAATGGCTTTCAGTGTTTATTAAGGATGGGACGATTTATGAAAACCGTCCGAACCGTTCGGTTCGACTGTCTCGGTTCGATTCGCGTGTGTTTCGTTCAGTACATGCGCTGCTCCTTTTTCTCATAGGCGAAGCGTTTACACTCCAGAGCAGAAGGTGGCGGTACTGCGACCAAAGCCAACCACCAGTAGTAAACAAGAAGAAGAAGAAGCGAAGCAGCTTAGCAGGGTGTAGCAGGGAAAAAAATCAGTTGTTGTGGAGAATTGTGTCGGAATGGCGAGTGGGAAAGAACAGGAGTTGGAAGACGCGCCAGCAGCACTTTATAGGTCTGCTGTATGGGACCACTTTGCATTTAGAGTGACCTACGATGACGGCGGAAAGAAAGTTGTGGATAAAAGTGCTACAGTGTGCAAGCATTGTGCAACACGTTTTGTTTATGCTAACAGCAACATGACCAACATGTCATGCTAACCCCGAAATCCCTCATACTCCGTCAGCAACCCCCGCTGCGCTCCAGACCGGCTGCTCAAAGGAAAGCCTACAGCCCCCACTGTGGCTCCCGTCCGCTCCCCTCTGAGTCCCTTGGAGATGGTAGAGAGCATGCGCGAGATGATTAAATTCAAAGCAGCAAAACATACGGAGATGATCCATGGTTTCCGCGGATCATTTAAAATAATTACAATCCATTATTTTTTGGGGGATTTTTTCATTAATTTCATAAATTTTTATGGGATTTCGGTGTAACAATCAACATATATCGAATCGAACCGAACCGAAAACCGCGACCACGAAACCGTGAATCGAACCGAACCGTGGATTTTGTGAACCGTTCCACCCCTAGTGTTTATACATGTGGATGCAGTAACCGTGCGCCGCCACCGGAGGGCACTAGAGGATCATAAAGAAGGAGAGCTGTTGATGGAGCTCCGTGTGTCCTGCTGTTGCAGGCATCTCCTCTCAGCGTAAATTCTCTTTAAATGGAAACAAACACAGCTGGGAAACGGGTAGATAAATCTAAATCATATAAACGAGCGAGTCTTCTATTCGGATTTCACTAAACAGCGAGTATGAGGGACTAGTTTTCATTTTAAAAGCCAGCCAATCATGTTAGGCCTGGTTTAAGTTCCCATCATGCATCTGTGACAACAAAACGCTGAATAAACAGAAAACCTACCAGGATCAGAAGTGAGTTGGGTCAAACTTAGTGATATAGAATTGCTCACTCAGATAATCAGATCTACAGGTTTCACAACATGTTTTTATTTGATCAGACTTTCTGCAATAAAAACTAAATAAATAAAAATCAAACATTACACCGTCTTGCTGGGAGACGCAGTAAGGTGGGGGTACAAGTCCTACTCCAAGCCTCCTTCTGAGTGTCCTAGTTTACTAGGACATATACTAAAATTGGAACGATACAGAGAAGATTAGCATGGCCCCTGCGCAAGGATGACACGCAAATTCGTGAAGCGTTCCTCATTTTTAATCTTTTAAAAATAATGAAAACAATAAAGAATGTTTTCAAGCCCTTTTTCCACTTCTTGCTCCCAGTTCAGGGGCTGTGTTCTAAACATGGGGATGCGTCCTTCGCTATGGAGGACTGACTCTGCCATGTATAAAAAATAAATACAGAAGTAAATAAATGCTCAATAAATAAGCATACAATTATTTGCCACCAAAAATACAATAAACAAATAAATGTAAGTAGAAATTAAATTATAGAGTGAGACATAAATGTATATAACCCTTTTAATTAGCTTCTTTATTTGTTTGCCTTTGTAATATTGACCTTATTTATTTTTTTGTCCTTTATAATCTTCAACTTTATTTTGTAATTACTTATATTTTTAAGTGTTTATTTATGTGCATGTTATGGTATTTTTGGCTGTTTTATTCTTCCTTTGTATTTCTTCCAGATATTTATTTAACCTGTTAAAAAAAATACATGATAAAACGGCCACTTAAAATGGGTAAGATTTGTAGATATCTGAAATGTAGTTCTTATTAGTACAAATTTAATTCCAGATTATTTAAAATGTATTTTCTACTCGTAGAAATGTAATTAGTGACATCTAAAATACAATTCTGACTAGGAACATTGTAATTTTGACTATGCAGAATGCTTTAGTACCGTCTTTTATAGAAATGTGACTAGTTAGCCTGCCTTTTTTATGTTAAAACAGAGACCCATTATTTTTTAAGATATCTAAAATGTTTCAGATACAGCAGTAATTCACATTTCATGAGCTCTAAAGTAATGCAAAAAAATCATTTGTATGGTCAACAATTTACCAAACATTCAGGTTTGCTTCAGTATATGTAATTTAATTCTAGATAGCAAAATAAATATTGTCAATATTTTGACAGCTCAGATTCCCTTTTCAGATATTTCATCATTTAATGTCCGTCTATTCCTGTCTCGCAGGAATATGTTTTTGATTAAATTAACTGCAGTTTCATTCAATTCATTGGAACGTTTAGAATTTATGTTACAAAAACAATAAGTGTTTATTATAAATAGGATCATTAAAACTGCACCCACATTCAAGGCAGAGGTAGGAAAAAATATATTTACTGCAAGTGTGATCTTCTCCAGCCTCACAGCCTTGGTCTGCAGATATTTATATAACCTGTTAAAAAAAAGACACAATTTCAATTTATTATGCATGTTATTTGTTTTAGTATAGGTCTAAAAAGTCAGAGCAACAGAATGGCTTTCAGTGTTTATTAAGGATGGGACGATTTATGAAAACTGTCCGAACCGTTCGGTTCGACTGTCTCGGTTCGATTCGCGTGTGTTTCGTTCAGTTCATGCGCTGCTCCTTTTTCTCATAGGCGAAGCGTTTACACTCCAGAGCAGAAGGTGGCGGTACTGCGACCAAAGCCAACCACCAGTAGTAAACAAGAAGAAGAAGAAGCGAAGCAGCTTAGCCGGGTGTAGCAGGGAAAAAAATCAGTTGTTGTGGAGAATTGTGTCGGAATGGCGAGTGGGAAAGAACAGGAGTTGGAAGACGCGCCAGCAGCACTTTATAGGTCTGCTGTATGGGACCACTTTGCATTTAGAGTGACCTACGATGACGGCGGAAAGAAAGTTGTGGATAAAAGTGCTACAGTGTGCAAGCATTGTGCAACACGTTTTGTTTATGCTAACAGCAACATGACCAACATGTCATGCTAACCCCGAAATCCCTCATACTCCGTCAGCAACCCCCGCTGCGCTCCAGACCGGCTGCTCAAAGCAAAGCCTACAGCCTCCACTGTGGCTCCCGTCCGCTCCCCTCTGAGTCCCTTGGAGATGGTAGAGAGCATGCGCGAGATGATTAAATTCAAAGCAGCAAAACATACGGAGATGATCCATGGTTTCCGCGGATCATTTAAAATAATTACAATCCATTATTTTTTGGGGGATTTTTTCATTAATTTCATAAATTTTTATGGGATTTCGGTGTAACAATCAACATATATCGAATCGAACCGAACCGAAAACCGCGACCACGAAACCGTGAATCGAACCGAACCGTGGATTTTGTGAACCGTTCCACCCCTAGTGTTTATACATGTGGATGCAGTAACCGTGCGCCGCCACCGGAGGGCACTAGAGGATCATAAAGAAGGAGAGCTGTTGATGGAGCTCCGTGTGTCCTGCTGTTGCAGGCATCTCCTCTCAGCGTAAATTCTCTTTAAATGGAAACAAACACAGCTGGGAAACGGGTAGATAAATCTAGATCATATAAACGAGCGAGTCTTCTATTCGGATTTCACTAAACAGCGAGTATGAGGGACTAGTTTTCATTTTAAAAGCCAGCCAATCATGTTAGGCCTGGTTTAAGTTCCCATCATGCATCTGTGACAACAAAACGCTGAATAAACAGAAAACCTACCAGGATCAGAAGTGAGTTGGGTCAAAGTTAGTGATATAGAATTGCTCACTCAGATAATCAGATCTACAGGTTTCACAACATGTTTTTATTTGATCAGACTTTCTGCAATAAAAACTAAATAAATAAAAATCAAACATTACACCGTCTTGCTGGGAGACGCAGTAAGGTGGGGGTACAAGTCCTACTCCAAGCCTCCTTCCGAGTGTCCTAGTTTACTAGGACATATACTAAAATTGGAACGATACAGAGAAGATTAGCATGGCCCCTGCGCAAGGATGACACGCAAATTCGTGAAGCGTTCCTCATTTTTAATCTTTTAAAAATAATGAAAACAATAAAGAATGTTTTCAAGCCCTTTTTCCACTTCTTGCTCCCAGTTCAGGGGCTGTGTTCTAAACATGGGGATGCGTCCTTCGCTATGGAGGACTGACTCTGCCATGTATAAAAAATAAATACAGAAGTAAATAAATGCTCAATAAATAAGCATACAATTATTTGCCACCAAAAATACAATAAACAAATAAATGTAAGTAGAAATTAAATTATAGAGTGAGACATAAATGTATATAACCCTTTTAATTAGCTTCTTTATTTGTTTGCCTTTGTAATATTGACCTTATTTATTTTTTTGTCCTTTATAATCTTCAACTTTATTTTGTAATTACTTATATTTTTAAGTGTTTATTTATGTGCATGTTATGGTATTTTTGGCTGTTTTATTCTTCCTTTGTATTTCTTCCAGATATTTATTTAACCTGTTAAAAAAAATACATGATAAAACGGCCACTTAAAATGGGTAAGATTTGTAGATATCTGAAATGTAGTTCTTATTAGTACAAATTTAATTCCAGATTATTTAAAATGTATTTTCTACTCGTAGAAATGTAATTAGTGACATCTAAAATACAATTCTGACTAGGAACATTGTAATTTTGACTATGCAGAATGCTTTAGTACCGTCTTTTATAGAAATGTGACTAGTTAGCCTGCCTTTTTTATGTTAAAACAGAGACCCATTATTTTTTAAGATATCTAAAATGTTTCAGATACAGCAGTAATTCACATTTCATGAGCTCTAAAGTAATGCAAAAAAATCATTTGTATGGTCAACAATTTACCAAACATTCAGGTTTGCTTCAGTATATGTAATTTAATTCTAGATAGCAAAATAAATATTGTCAATATTTTGACAGCTCAGATTCCCTTTTCAGATATTTCATCATTTAATGTCCGTCTATTCCTGTCTCGCAGGAATATGTTTTTGATTAAATTAACTGCAGTTTCATTCAATTCATTGGAACGTTTAGAATTTATGTTACAAAAACAATAAGTGTTTATTATAAATAGGATCATTAAAACTGCACCCACATTCAAGGCAGAGGTAGGAAAAAATATATTTACTGCAAGTGTGATCTTCTCCAGCCTCACAGCCTTGGTCTGCAGATATTTATATAACCTGTTAAAAAAAAAAAAGACACGATTTCAATTTATTATGCATGTTTTTTGTTTTAGTATAGGTCTAAAAAGTCAGAGCAACAGAATGGCTTTCAGTGTTTATTAAGGATGGGACGATTTATGAAAACCGTCCGAACCGTTCGGTTCGACTGTCTCGGTTCGATTCGCGTGTGTTTCGTTCGGTTCATGCTAGGGCTGGGCGATATAGAAAAAAAGCTTATCGATAAAACAAAATGCATATTGATCGATATCGATAATTATTGAAAAGATTTGACACCATATTTTATGTGCAGGTCTGCCTGGACTTTTTATAATATTGCTAAATGATTTAATTATAATAAAGAACACAAACACAGACTTCTAATTAAATCTTTATTTAACCAACTTTTTTAACCATAACAGAATTGTTTTAAAGAAAAATAACTTAAGAGACCTGAGTTATGTTATTAAATACTGACAAAGAATAAACTAAAGTGACCAGAAAAGTGACCAAAATAAATATAACAAATAAATAAATGGACCCACCCACCCCCCCAGCCGCCACCCGCATTACTGCTTTAACCTGAGTTATTACTTTGAAGTTTCTGACCCCTCAGCATTTTTCTCTCAATTGTTAGAACTACGTGGGAAACTGCCCAGAACTGAAAATATATATTTTCCCGAAATTCCCGAAGAGGAGAGCCGCGTCGGGGCCTACACAGCTCGTACTCCTGCGGGTGTGAGCGGCTGAGATGATAAAAAAAAAAAAAAAAAAAGTTGGTTGTGTTATCAGACTTCGTTTTCACTGGTTCCCTACACATTTTACAGATGAATGTGGTTGGTTTTTTGTCCGACTTGCCATGACCGAAATACTGCCAAACTGGCGAACTACAAAAACCTTTCTTTGAAACAATTTCCTCCGCCTCTCCTTGCTGCATCTTCATGTGCTCTGTGTTGTGGTTTGAGAGGGCGGAGCTTTGTGACGGCATGCCTGGGTCCACGATTGTGATTGGTTGGGAGGAAGCAGTGACTAGCATAAACCTACATGCTAGGCTACAATGAGAAGGAAGGAAAACTGCGTTTCTTTTTTATCGAACTTTTATCGACCCTCTTTTTTTCTATTGCGCCACACGTCTATCGATCGATATATATCGTTATTGAATTATCGCCCAGCCCTAGTTCATGCACTGCTCCTTTTTCTCATAGGCGAAGCGTTTACAGTCCAGAGCAGAAGGTGGCGGTACTGCGACCAAAGCCAACCACCAGTAGTAAACAAGAAGAAGAAGAAGCGAAGCAGCTTAGCCGGGTGTAGCAGGGAAAAAAAATCAGTTGTTGTGGAGAATTGTGTCGGAATGGCGAGTGGGAAAGAACAGGAGTTGGAAGACGCGCCAGCAGCACTTTATAGGTCTGCTGTATGGGACCACTTTGCATTTAGAGTGACCTACGATGACGGCGGAAAGAAAGTTGTTGATAAAAGTGCTACAGTGTGCAAGCATTGTGCAACACGTTTTGTTTACGCTAACAGCAACATGACCAACATGTCATGCTAACCCCGAAATCCCTCATACTCCGTCAGCAACCCCCGCTGCGCTCCAGACCGGCTGCTCAAAGGAAAGCCTACAGCCTCCACCGTGGCTCCCGTCCGCTCCCCTCTGAGTCCCTTGGAGATGGTAGAGAGCATGCGCGAGATGATTAAATTCAAAGCAGCAAAACATACGGAGATGATCCATGGTTTCCGCGGATCATTTAAAATAATTACAATCCATTATTTTTTGGGGGATTTTTTCATTAATTTCATCAATTTTTATGGGATTTCGGTGTAACAATCATCATATATCGAATCGAACCGAACCGAAAACCGCGAACACGAAACCGTGAATCGAATCGAACCGTGGATTTTGTGAACCGTTCCACCCCTAGTGTTTATACATGTGGATGCAGTAACCGTGCGCCGCCACCGGAGGGCACTAGAGGATCATAAAGAAGGAGAGCTGTTGATGGAGCTCCGTGTGTCCTGCTGTTGCAGGCATCTCCTCTCAGCGTAAATTCTCTTTAAATGGAAACAAACACAGCTGGGAAACGGGTAGATAAATCTAGATCATATAAACGAGCGAGTCTTCTATTCGGATTTCACTAAACAGCGAGTATGAGGGACTAGTTTTCATTTTAAAAGCCAGCCAATCATGTTAGGCCTGGTTTAAGTTCCCATCATGCATCTGTGACAACAAAACGCTGAATAAACAGAAAACCTACCAGGATCAGAAGTGAGTTGGGTCAAAGTTAGTGATATAGAATTGCTCACTCAGATAATCAGATCTACAGGTTTCACAACATGTTTTTATTTGATCAGACTTTCTGCAATAAAAACTAAATAAATAAACATCAAACATTACACCGTCTTGCTGGGGGACGCAGTAAGGTGGGGGTACAAGTCCTACTCCAAGCCTCCTTCTGAGTGTCCTAGTATACTAGGACATATACTAAAATTGGAACGATACAGAGAAGATTAGCATGGCCCCTTTGCGCAGGCTAGTAAACTAGGACACTCAGAAGGAGGCTTGGAGTAGGATTAATACTAATAATAGTACTAATAAGAACTACATTTCAGAAAATCTGATCAAATAAAAACATGTTGTGAAACCTGTAGATCTTATTATCTGAGTGAGCAATTCTATATCACTAACTTTGACCCAACTCACTTCTGATCCTGGTAGGTTTTCTGTTTATTCAGCGTTTTGTTGTCACAGATGCATGATGGGAACTTAAACCAGGCCTAACATGATTGGCTGGCTTTTAAAATGAAAACTAGTCCCTCATACTCGCTGTTTAGTGAAATCCGAATAGAAGACTCGCTCGTTTATATGATCTAGATTTATCTACCCGTTTCCCAGCTGTGTTTGTTTCCATTTAAAGAGAATTTACGCTGAGAGGAGATGCCTGCAACAGCAGGACACACGGAGCTCCATCAACAGCTCTCCTTCTTTATGATCCTCTAGTGCCCTCCGGTGGCGGCGCACGGTTACTGCATCCACATGTATAAACACTGAAAGCCATTCTGTTGCTCTGACTTTTTAGAACTATACTAAAACAAATAACATGCATAATAAATTAAATTGTGTCGTTTATTTTTTAACAGGTTCTATAAATATCTGCAGACCAAGGCTGTGAGGCTGGAGAAGATCACACTCTCAGTAAATATATTTTTTTTCTACCTCTGCCTTGAATGTGGGTGCAGTTTTAACGATTCTATTTATAATAAACACTTATTGTTTTTTTATATATATTGTAAATGTTCCAATTATTTTAATGTAAGTGCAGTTAATTTAATCAAAAACATATTCCTGCGAGACAGGAATAGACGGACATTAAAGATTAAATATCTAAAAAAGGGAATCTGAGCTGTGAAAATATTGACAATATTTATCATGCTATCTAGAATTAAATTACATATACTGAAGCAAACCTGAATGTTTATTAAATTGTTGACCATTCAAATTATTTTTTGCATTACTTCAGAGCTCATGAAATGTAAATTACTGGTGTGTGGGATCAATAAAGTTACTGTATTAAACAAAGAACCTTTCATATATTGAGTTTGGTACCTTTTCTCCATTAACTTTAGTTCATGTTTCAAGATCAGCATCTTGTATACGAAGATATCTGAGGTGATGAAGACTGAATTTAATTGTTTGAGATTTTCCTAAAACAATGAACTTAAGTCTTTATAACTTCAGATATATTTGTTTATCAATGACATTTCAGGCACATTTTTTAGTTGGAGTAGGTGGTAGCTACGAGATCAGTTTCTCATAATTATGAGATCTTATGTATATATTAGGTCACGATGACTTGAGCCAGTAATTTAAAAATATCTGCATCTGTTCCCCTGAACAGTTCTCCATACCAAGGTCTGACCTGATATGCGTTGGAGTTCTGCTGCTGTTTTTGACTTCATCAATAAAGTACCCAGCTATAACCTTGGGATTACTAATTGTGGAGTAAGCATGCAGCCATATGATCGCACGGGAAAATCCATCAACAGCTCCATTAATACAGATTGTGTTTGGTTTTAGTTTTCCATATGAATCAACAAGCTGCATGAAGCTGGGACCTGGGGTTCTGATCTAGGGAGCCTCATCCTGAAGGCCAGCACTGCGGCTCAGAATCTCAGGTCCCAGAAGGCAGGTTCATGATTTCATCTCCAGCCGACAGCAGAACCTCTAGACCAGCTGCTTCCACACAGACACCTGTGGAGCCCAGTGATGAGGAGCTGGTCCAGGCTGCTGGCGACATGGAGGAATTTAAGTAACAAGCATCTAATTTATCAGACTTTCTGTTTACAAAAAGATACAGCTGATGCTGACAGTTTTCTAACATTTTGTTTCACAAATGATACAAAAAAGTAAACCTGAGGTGAAACAATAAGTTGGAGTCAATAAATAATTTGCTTTTGGCAATTAGTTGTAGCTCACTCATCACTAACTGGCTGCTGCTTTTCACCTGTAGATTCCTCATCATGTCACCCGTTTCTTCTTCTTTTCGTCACCTACCACACTCCTTCCCCATCTTAAAGAAGAAGGTCGCAGGATGGCCACAGGGCATCGTCAGGCTGCTGCCCCCCACCTACAGCTGCCAGTTTCCTGCTGAGCTCACGTACAAGTAAGAAACCAGTAACTGTCTTAGTTCTTTATTATTATAAAACAATTAATAGAAGGAGAAGAAAGTATCTTAAAGTGGTATGGTTTTCCTGCAGGCCGTCCTGTGACCAGAGGGTGGTTGGACAGCTGAGGTCTCGCTTGGCAACAGTGCGACCCGGCTGTACAACACCCTGCAGGAGCAGCACTCAGGTTCCTGGATGTGGAGATCGATCCACTACTTCAGCATGAGGGAGCAGTTGCAGTCGTAGTGCTGGCCATGCACGTGGACCAGGACTGGTGCAGCAGAGATGGTGTTTTGAGGATCGTGTGGTCCCTCATCCACGTTGACTACATGGAGATATGGCAGACAGTGCTGGCGTGCCTGAGGTTGATGGCTCAGACCACCATCAAGCTCTTTGAGCTGAACCAGAGGTTCATCTCCCAGCGGTGAGAGCCGTTTGACTGACCTGGAATCTTTTCACACTCCGTGCACGTCCTCGGGCTCTGATGTCAGTCTGTGTTTACGTCTGCAGGTTCAGATGGTGACAGAAGCAGTGGGAGAAGTCTGTGCTGGAGCAGAGAGTGAGCCTCAGCCCGGCTTCAACCGCTGCAGACCGCCCACAGCTTGCACCGAAGGAGCTGTCCTCTGTGACGGTGGAACAAGGACAGCCCTTCCAACCACCTGCCAGAAGAGCAGCTGTGCCCATCCGGCCCAGGCCTTCCTCCGCCTTCTGCTCCGGCGCCTGCTCCTCTTCCTCAGTCTCAACCTTCCAAGGCTAGCCTCCACCTCTTCGGCCCAGCTGCCTCCTCCTGTGGTGCCCGGGGCAACGTAGGAGGAAGACCTGGGCCGAACGTGTTCAGGAGGAGGAAGGCAGCGGAGGCTCTGCTGCACCTGGGGGGGGAGGGTGGCGTCACCACCCAAGCACTGCAGAGGCTACGTCTGCGTCAAGCCCAAACGCAGAGAGACGAGAAACACCAGGGTTACTGGTGCTGGGCTGCTGTAAGGTCCAACAACTGCAACCTGCAAGGAACCATTAAAACACAATCACAGCAAGTAAAACAGATATGAGGGATGTGGGGCCGAGTTCATGAGTACACCACTGACCCAGCTGATGCTCTGGACCGGAGGCTGGTCTTGGGTGCAGAGGAGGATGCAGGCCTTGGATGGAGGCGAGGATGGTGCAGAGAAGGAGGAGATGAAGGTCTGAATGAAGGTGTTGTGGACTGGGACAGTCTCTGAGATGTGGAGGCTGTAGCGCCTCAGACTGGAAGAAAGTGAGAAGAGTGGTGAGAACAGCAGAGAGGATCATCAGGGCTCCTCTTCCCTCCATATCAGACATTTAATCCCAGCTCTGCGTGTCCTGAGCCTGTTACATCATCAATGACCCCTCACACCCCCACCATGGACTGTTCTCCCTGCTGCCCTCTGGGAAGAGGCTTCACAGCTATGAAAAATCTGACTGAATCAGGAAATAAAACAGCCTCAATGGCTGTAATGAGAGCGGAGACAGAGGACAGAGTTTACTGAAGAAAACCTGCTACCATCCAGGTTAGCTCTGGGGAGAATGTTACTACGGCAACTGAAACAGGTTGAATAAACTCTTTGTGAAATGGAAAAGTCAGTTTCCCTTTTCATGTTGAGAAAACTTATTCAGTAAACCTGCTTCTTGAAACGGCCCCCTGGATTTTACACTTTGTTGTTTAAACATCAATAAATATGTAAAAATAGATAAAAGCATCACAGTCCCAGTTTCCTAAGTTAATTTTGATGATCTTTATTTCTTTTAATCGACGAGCTGGAAATGTCTCCAGACTGGATTATAGAAATCTGGTCACCTTATTCTGGTTCTGATGGTTTTCTGTTTTGTTTCTGTTGGACTTCAATGCTTTCAGTTTTTCACATCACTGGTATCTATAAAAATGTTATTTTCTTTTGTTGCATTATTGTTCCTCGTCATTTTGACATCTATAAATGTTAACTGTTCATTGTTGTCTTGAAGTAAATTGTAGTTGAAATCAAATTAATAAAACTGTTTCTTGTCAGATTTAATATGCTGTCTTGGGATTTGTCATTAACATCGACACCCTCATGATTATTCCTGAACAGTTTCAGCGACGGCAGTAAATCTGCACCTACAGCTTTAGCCAAGATCATTTGGAGCTGCTCTTCAATCAGAGCATCAGGTTGAAATTTCAGTTTTTGGTTTTAGTTTTTGTGCATGCCCTTCTTAACAGTATTACACTCTCAGATTATTATGTATTGTTTTATTTTAGTTTTTTTCCCAGTTAAAGTCAAACTAAGCAATATGTGAAAGTATGGTTAGTGTGTGCTTTTATGTTTTCTCAGGAGGTTGGAACAATAAGCCTTCAGCAGACCAGTTCTAAGTCCTTTCCCATCACCTGATGGTGCGGTGTGGGTGCTTCCAAGCACATCAGGAAATGTGGCAGCTCAGGATGCAACTGTGTTTCTGTTGACTTTTGAAATGCCATCTTACTCCGTAGCAGAAGAAACACAAGATCTGCTATTCCCTTTCCCAAACACTTCTGCAATTGTGCACGAGTATAATGATCTGCTAACTCGCTTTGGTGGCCTTGTTGACAATGCTCTTGTCTACATCTCTGGATTTGTGGTTGGATCAATTTTAAAGAAGCTGTTGTGTGATGTGTGCTGTGGTTGTCTGGTCACTGAAGCTGTGCCTGCATCACCACCAACTAAAAAATGTGCCTGAAATGTCATTGATGAACAAATATGTCTGAAGTTGAGAAGACTTGAGG